TAAAAAATAATAATCCTCATAGCTGGTATTTTTCTGCTCGTAATTTAAACCCATTATTGCGAGTCCTGTTCTCTGCTGCCAACAGAAACAGCTCCCTGCCCTCCTCTAAGTGACAACCTTTCAAATACTTAAAAAGAGCAATCATGTCTCCCTTCAACCTCCTCTTCTCCATACTGAACATTCCCAACACCCTCGTAGGGGTTGGTCTCCAGGCCCTTGATCATCTTTGTCAAACTCCTCTGCACCCACTCCATTCTGTCCACATCTTTTTTTGAAGTGAAGCCTCCAGAACTGCACACAGTACTCAGTGCAGCCTGACCAATGCAATGTACAGCTGGACTATGACCAGAGTTTTATGGCAAGTCCCAGAATCCTTGTCTCTAGGATTCTGAATGACTCTCAGGACAATGGAACCCCTAGGGCTTAAGAGAGATTTTGGGTTCTTATCTCACTACACATGCTAAGTCGCTCAGTTCTTGCATCTGTTTGTTAAAATTTTTAGTATCTGTATGCTAATTTGCTGCTATTCACAGGTTTTACCAACTACTTTAATCCAATCTTAGCTATACCTATCGCTCAGTTACTTATGCATTTTGACTCCAATTAGCCCTTCATGGCAACTAACCCACTCCCACCCTCTCTACCTATATGTAAGGCTTGAGGAAGTCTGCTTCAGTGTATTTGAAGAAGTGTGTGTGCACACAAAAGCTCATGCCCAAAATTAAACTATATTATTGGTCTTACAGATGCCACTGGGCTCAAACGTTGTTCCATAAAAAAGTAGTTAGTTACTACATCGTTCATACCAGAATTCTAAGTCACTGTTTGCATTTTCTCTCTCTAGTGTTTTTGAGATCATAATTTCTCCAGGAGACCCGAATCAATCAGCTAAGTTGTATTATAAAAGCAGGTCTGTGGCCCTAGAAACTTAAAACATAAAAAATATAAATCGCAGCACTGGCTGGTTCTTTCCTTGAAGCGAAAACTGGGATGAATATATTGCAAGATGTTCTGTCACTACTTTCAGTTCCACAGCCTAGCATTCAAAACAGGTGACAGAGATTTTAACTATTTGTTCCATCATCTGAGGAAGTCTTCTAACGGGGGGGGGGGGGGGGAATTAAAAATCATGACTAAGGAAAGTCAGAGCAAGCAATGACAAGAACAGTGCTCAATTCAAAAGGTTTTTTTGGGTTCTGCGCTGTACCTCTGGTAGCAAGTGTTCTTGGGGAGATTCTTTCCTAGCACCACTTCCAGTGACCACCTCCTGCATCTTACTTTCTTGCAGTGCAAGTTGAGATAGCACACGATAAAAGGATTTGGGGGAGGACAGTGTTATGAAAGCAAGCACCCCACTCTCTTCTGTGTCAGAGGCACCATTCCCACCTTAGAATGTAACAGTAAAACATATGGAGGCACTTCTGCCAGCCTACAAATGGAGTATCAGTGTGGGAAAGCAATGAGATCGCCCTTGAGTACTGGAAACCCCACCAAAGGCGGCTGTGACATGAAGAGGGAGACAGGGAATTTGCATAAGGCTGTCAATTTCCCCTTGACCTTTTTTCCTGAATCAGCTTGGAACTGTTTAGTATAAACAGCCCAGGCACATCAAAGCGCTGCTGGCACAAGTCCTAACCAAGTGAATGAGCCTTGAGCTGGTGGAATAGTCTCAGGACTGCAGTTTGTAAGACGGCTGGGGTGGTTACAGTGCAGTAGGAATCCATTCAGCTGCCCATCTCAAATCCTTTGCTATTGTTCTGTAAAAGCAAATGGCCACTATTGTGCCAAGCTGAGATATGCTGGTGATGTGGGTGGGCTATATTCTCTTGTAACGTCTGCAAAACAGGCCAAGTTTCAGTGAAAGCTACTGAAAGACTGAATGGCACAGTTACACTTCTGAATGGGAGTAGACAGCTTCCAGACGATCCACAGAAGCTGACTGTTAATGAAAAGATTGCTATTACAACTGGCTTCCTGTGCAGAGATGGTTGTTCCCATCTCCTTGAACAGAAAATCCCATCCACTTCCTCTTTGGACATTGCGTCTGTGTAGAGAAAGTCTGAATATGGCTGTACTGAGGTATACAACCTATGAAAAAGTGTCTCCCCTCTGGTTTCAAACAAGATGGGAATAAAGCATCATATCCTGCATCGTGACTATGGGCAAGGTTGTTGCGGTAGAAAATATTCTGTTCAGACATCCAAAAGCAAAGTTGGTTGTGCCAAATGGAATTGGGACAGTGGAATTACAGCCCCTCGCGTGTGCATTTAAGTCCTCCTGCTCTGCATGGTGAAATCAGAAACAGCCCAGAGTTTGATGACCTTTCAGTCTCTTGAGACAATGCAGAGTTCAACTCTGCTCAGAGGCTGTTGCGCTCACCACCAGCTATCCAAAGTGTGCCCCAATCTACCTTTATTAAAAAGGGGGGGGGGGAAACAGATTTGTCCTGCAAGCACTGATATAAAAGCAAGAGGATTAATGGTAGCTCATTGGCAGGTAATTTATTTAGTGCATTATATGCTACCTCTCAACAAAAGGCAGGTGACAAAATGACTCACAGTTTAATGTATCATATAATAAAAAGAGCGTCAGCAGTCAGATAATCAAATATCAGTAAAAAAACAACACCCAACAGGCAGGAGCCCTTGACATCACAAAACCATTACATATAAATGAGCATGATGACAATGAGGGTGGGGGAACAGAAGAGCTTGCGTTCTAGCCAAACGCCCAACCTGGCAGCTGCCGCTGAATCAATGTTATTTTTATCTGCCCAGATAACTGAATCACCAGTGGCCAATCAGGTGGCAAGTGCCTCACCCGGCCCCACCCACTTTCTAAAACACTTGGTGAGCACCAGGAGAAGTGTTGGCAGGCACCACAGTGATCATGAGTGCCACACTGGGGGCCCCAGTTCCACACAATCCAATAATAAAACTGCTAATGAGATTCTGTGTTCTGATCAGGGGGGTGGTGGCAGCTCGGTTCTCTATGCCACCTTGAGAATCTAGTCAGCCTGCTCTGACATAATCATCTGTCTGCCCTGGATCAGTTCTGAGTACAGTGCACTGAGCCATACCACAGTAGACTATTCAGTGTGCGCTCTAGGGGAAGCAAATGGCATACCAATAGGATCAGTTTTCAGTACCTTAAACCCATGCCTTGGAGGGCTTATTTAGAGGACTCAATGCAAACCAATAATGGATTCATAATTCACAGTTCATCATCATGGATATGAATGCCATAGCTGAGATTGTGTACTTGCTCCCCCCATGCAGTGTTTGACAGAAGTGTCCAGCCAAATCCACTTAACATGTCCAAAAGGGCATCTGATTACTGAGGTTTGTTCACATGAATCTGCTGCTATACTGATTCAGACCACTGGTCTTTCAAGGTCACTGCTGTCTCCTGCAACTGGAAGCAACGCTCCCAGGGTCTTAGACAGAGGTCTTTCACACCACTATCCAGTTCTTTTAATTGGAAATGCCAGGGATTGAATCTGCAGCCTTATACATGCAACACAGATGCTCTGCAACTGTACCTCCCTTTCCCAGTTAACTGGGATGAGACTCCTTGAAGCCAGCCTGGAAACTTTGCTAGTTCAAAATGCAGCCCCTTGATTGCCCACAAGGAAGATCTGTTTCCATCATGTGCCAGTTTTAAAGCAGCTCCACTGGCTCGGCATTTGCTTTTGGACTCAATTCAAAGTGCTGGTTCCTGCCCTTGCAGCCCTTCACAACCTGGACCACCTCTCCCTAACTACCTTGCCACTCCACAGATCAAAAATTGTTATCTGAGAGTGGTATGCCTGGCTACTAATCCCTTGCGTACTTTTCCTGTGCTGCAGAGCGAGCTCACACTGGGGTCCACAGATTCCCACCATTACTGGCAGTTTCAGAGGATGGATGTTTGAATGTGTATCTACGGTCTACTGTTTTCTGTGTTTGTTAACCTGGCAGGTTTTGTGCAATATGTTTTGAGCATGATGTCTGTCACTTAGGTGGTTTAGAAGGAAAGACTATATATATGTTTAAGACAGACTGATAACGGTGGTTCCCGTCTTTCCCCCTCCTGACACTGACAGCAGCTCAGCAGATTAGATTCTTTCCACCCACTCCATGCCACAAAATTAGTCCAAATCAGGGCTCCAGTAGCTGTTTTGAATCTCCTGTTCATATTGCTCAATCACTGTTATGTTCTAAGTTAAAATCTAATAAAATATTATGGTTAAAAAAAAATATTGCTCAATCACAAATCTCAGCATAACACAACTTGGACTACAGTTCGTTAGTGGGATGGGAAAGTCCATCAGATTTAGAACCAGCAGGCTTTTTGCAAGCTAGATTATTCTTCAAACAGGAAATTGCAATAGCTACAACTGAGAGATATTGTGTAATGTATAGCAATTAAGCCCAATTGGAAAGACATGAAGACTGTTGTGACAATACTATACCATCCAATGGGTGTCCTAGACTGAGTATGAGGAAGGAAATTGCAACAAAAATAGGTGATTTTACTTTTGATAGTCACTGCTAGAAAACTGTCCAAAATAGTTCTTGTTACCTGATTTTTAGCCGTGGGCAAGTTTGACTAACAAGCTATATTCTGTCTACAATTTTCCGTTTAAATTGTTCACTCTTTTTCAAACAAGAGGTGGAACAGATGGGGAACATCTGGAAAATTGGTAACAGGAAAGGAAAGGAATAGAGGAATAGGGCCTGGGAACTCTGGCCAATAGCAGTAAAGCCCTCAAGCATCTGAACACCCTCCTCCCAATCAGTCTTCATTTAATACCTTAGCAAGAACCTAGACTTCACATCAAAGCCATTTGGACAAGTTTATAGCAAGAAGAATCTTACAGTTACCTGACAGATTTTACTGATGCCATAGCCTGGGATCTATGGCACATTTACTTCTACATTCTTGAACTCTGCAGTTTTTACAGAAACAACCTGCAGGAAATTGAGCAGAATGCTAGTAGAAACACTGAGACTAGGATGTGTCAGTCACAATCTTTATTTTGTTTTTTCACAAAACATTCTTATTTTTCATCCGTTAACCATCAATGAAATGATTGGGCAGAAAAATAATTAGGTAGGTAATTAAATATAAATAGTAAGTAATATGGGACACATCTGAAATGCATCAAACACAATGTAGGGAGCTAAGGAAGCCAGAACCTGATAATGCCAAAAAGAAAAAAACAGACTCCGATCAGTGTCAGCAAATAAGTACTGTAATAAAAAGGAAGCTAAGGTTACATTTGATCAGACATTTATTCCCAAGAAGAGTTGCAGAATTGCACTTTTTATGAAGACAGCCATCAAGTCCACTGGATGTGCGTGTTTGTGCGGGTTCAGTGTTTCTGCAGCTCTTTCATTCTGTTAAGTGCGCTACCGGCTTTAAACCACTCGATCTGGGGCTCATTGAAGGTATGATTCAGCATGATTGTTTCTTGGCTCCCATTAGGATGCTTGATGATGCATTTCAAGGGCTATTGGTAGGGGGGAAAAGAGGTAAGTCAAGTCTAGCTTTTGCATTACAACTCGATCCATAATCAATAATACATCAACTATGTGCAATGAACCTGATCTAAGGCCCCGGTCACACGGGCCATATAACGTTGGGGGGGGGGGGGGGGGGGGGCAATTCCTCTGGCAATTAGAGCCACCAGAACGCGATCCGACGCGTTGGCGGCAAACCACGGGTCCTGTCCTCCCCGCCTGCGCATTAACGAGGGGCCGGGGCAATCACACCGCAGGAGTCCGGAGGCAGCCCGTGGCAAACCGTTTGCCACTACATACGAGGTACTGTTTTTTAATTGCGCTTTTTCGGCGGTATGCCACGGGTGCGCTCCACTTGCCAGATGTTGCGGTGTGATCGCGCCCCAATAATCCGCCCACCACCCGTGGCTCTCCCGCGGCAAATTCGCCGTGTGACCAGGACCTAAAAGTACTTTATTGTACAAACTGAAATGTTGCTAATAAGAGGTGGGATATCAGTTAAAAAAATTAAGCAACTTCCGTTAGACTCAATTCAGGTGGGTAGCCGTGTTGGTCTAAAGCAACAGAACAAAGTTTGGGAGCAGTGGCCCCTTTAAGACCAACAGAGTTTAATTCTATTGGTCTTAAAGGTGCCACTGGACTCAAATGTTATTCCTTGGACTCAAGTAATTCTCAGTTTAAGAGCCTACATAAAACATGTCTTCCACCAGTTTTTTCCTCCACTAGTACTGAAGAGTGTATCTTCTTAGCTAGGAGTAATGGTAGACTGCAATAAATGTGTTTTTTGCAATAAAACAAATAAACAAAACTAAAATTCTTTGCCAAGGATCCCTAAATACATTTTGCATCACAGAGATAATTGTATAATTTTAGTGCAAACAATTCATGGGACAATAATGAAACTGAACAATGGAGAATCACTCAGAGTTGGAATAAATACAGAAGCCCAAATTGTGACATTCTGCTAAAAGGTTTCTGGGATTGCTGCTTTACTGAGAGCCGCTCAGAACTTGGAAGACTAGAAAATTGCGTTTTTAAAGATTCACTGAAATCAAGCTGTAGAAACTATTTTTTTGGCATTTCAGAAACTATCCAAATATCTAAAGTGGAATATCAGTGCAGCAGCCACTACAGACAAACAGAAGAAAACAAGGCCTCCTAATGAGAAACTATGCTCATTACCTTTCCAGGAACAAAATCTTTCAGACCTACGATGCTCAGCTTGTCTACAGGATGGATCTTGTCATAGTCGGCAGGATCAGCAAAGGTTAATGGCAGGAGGCCTTGCTTCTTCAGGTTGGTTTCTGTTACAAATACCGGGTTAAAGAGTTATCAGAATGCTTAGGATACACTTCAGCCAACTTGTGAGGAATAGCTGAACTCCAGTTTTGTTTTGGGGATTTTGTTATACAACCAAAACTGTCTTCTAAAGTACTGTCAGATACCAGGCCAGCATATGTTTAAACAAGCCCTCTAAATGAAGAGGCTAAAAGGAAGCAAATCTCTTCCCATCCTACTCGCAGGTTAAAGATCCTGAACAGTTAATCAGTTTGCCTGCTGCACTCTGTCTTATGTATGCATCCAAGCTGGAAAAAACGACAGGTACAGTGTGTTACCCAAATACTGCACATGATATTTTGTTAGGAAACACTGAAAGCTTGAAGGCTGTGGATCATGGTTCAATAATATACATCAGAATAAGGGTTTTCAACTCATATAGGGCAATCCCTGCTCTTTTGGGTGTTTTTGTTTGACAAAGCAAAAGGTTTTCAGTCTTCTACTCTAGCTGAAAATGTACAGAGACAATGGCAACCATTGAGCACATAACATTAGAACAGCTATACTGTTAGTTCCTCTGCAAGAGACAGAAACAGGCCATCACTGCCTGAGGAATAGCTATTGGTTTAAAAATGGGTCAGGGCGCACACACAGCTATCCTATAAAGAACAATCGTTATGTAATTTAGAGGACGAAAACCCTGAAGCCACACCCAGCTTTCTGGTTGTTCAAAAAGAAATAGTCTCACCATGAATTCTGGCAAAGCTCTTAACTATGATGGCTCTTCCTCCTAGATGCCGTGGTTCCAACGCTGCATGCTCTCGACTCGAGCCTTCACCATAGTTTTCATCCCCAACAACCACCCACTGAACACCTTGTTTCTGTGAGCAAACAAATGCAGAACGATTCGACACTCAAGAGATGGAAGGTAGTCACAGGGTTTGTTAAATTAGTCTCCCTAAATCACAGGTCTCTGAAGAAAAAATTTCACTACATGAGAAGCTATTTGAGGGCAACCAGAGGATAGACACTGGAAGTGGAGCTAGGCCTCTTTCTGGGAAAAACAGGAGTTAAATATGCTTCCTTAATGTTCCAGTGACTGAGAAATGTGGAGACATCTCAATGGCTAAGAAGTTGTGTTCCCCCCAAAGACCCTGTCACCTTATCACGATAAGCTAATGAAAATTAAATATTCTCCTATTTATAGCCCAACTAGAAGTGAAAGCAGCCATGGGGCCAACCTGTGGCGCAACCTGCTGCTATTTTACAGGATAATTTAGCCATTTAAAATCTGCTGCAAGGGCCCGATCTTGATCAGGCCCACACCATGGCAACAACAAGCAATCTTGTCCCCCCCCCCCATGCCTTTTAGAGTGCCAAAACACCCGTCCCCCATGCCATAGTCTAGTATCTGCTCATATTGAATGGGGCTGGGATATTTTTGAAGTTAAATAAGTGCTGCTGAGCGAATAGAGGACCTGCAGTCAAGAATATTGTCTGGCCTCTCAGAAACAAGCATGAGCACTAAAGAATCTCCATTTCCTAATAGTGCCAGGGAACTACCAGCAGTTTTCTCCACCTTCAGCATGGGATTTGCCTGTAGAACTGGGGACACTACCTAGCAGGGCCACTAGCTTCACAGCAGCATCTAGTGGCTGGAAGTAAAATTGCTGCTTCAGCCAACATACATGTCTGAACAGTAGGCAGATGCTGCAGAACTGAAAGCAGGATTCCCACATACCGTTTCACTGAACAATTTTTGAGAATACTGTCACAGTATTGGCAATAGTGTGGCCAAGCCCTACCAAAGGACCACATACCCATAAATCTTTGCTTCTTATAGTCTCATGCAGTACAGAACTCTTACCTTGTAGTAACGGGCTGTGTCTGGAACAGGCCCAAATTCCTGGGTTAATCCATTCCTCACTGAGTTAGCCTTGCCATTTTCAGTATTTATAGCTCCAATCAGCAGGTTGTTTGAGATGTTGTCCAGATGGCCACGGAATTTGAGCCAAGGTCCAGCTGCTGATATGTGGTCAGTGGTACATTTTCCTTTCACCTGGAAAGCAAATAGACACAAAGAGGAGTCGTGTGACAGTCCCAAATACTTTTCATCCTCAGTGGCACTATAAACATTAACTGAGTGCTTATGAAGAAAGCTAACATTCTGAACAGACAGAGCTAAACCTTCAGGTAAAGATAGATCACCAGTCTGCAACCTAGCGAGGAACATTGACAATTCTATACCAGGCATTTCCAACTGCTTAGCAACAGACAGAAACACACTGCAATATACGCTCTGTCCCCAACAAGCATGCTTCCCTTAGAATATGCAGAGGTCTATATGGCTGAAATTGTGTTTCAAATAATTAACCAATGTAGGTGACATTTTCCTACCCTACACATTCATAAAAGGGAGCTTGAGATATGTATTTTCTTCCAGGTTGAAAAGCAAGCAACAGAACTTTTAGCAGTTGACTTCTCCACTCTAAAACAACCTCTCTGTATCCTGGGTTCCAGAACCCTTCCCCCACTCACACACACACCATTAGTAATATCTGAGTGATGTGACCATGCTCTGGATGCAACGGTTTCCCAGATTTGGGGTGTGTGTGTGTATGTGTGTGTGTGTGTGTGTGTCAGAACCTAACCTCCTCAGAAAAAAATTCTTGTGATGGTGCCTTGGCTCCACTGAGGTGCTGATTTCAAAGAAACTGAATTCCTGCTCTTGTACTCAACCAAGTATCATCTGTCAGTTGAAATTTCCACAAGGTTTGGTTGGTGCACCTGCAACAGCCTTCCCTGGAAAATCCAAATCTGAGCTCAGCTACCTATACCCCAGAAATATTCAACTAAGATTATTGCAGTGTGTGGCCAATGCCTGCCACTTAAACTAGAATGTAGCAGCACAGCTGCTAATTAGACTGGGCTGAGCAGCAGAATGTAACAATGTATCTAATTCTCAACATGGCCACATTTGGGGATACTTGAATCCAGAGACTGGAGCCATGATCAGGCAAAACAAATCTTTCTACGAATGTACAAAAGGCCCCAGGTGTGCAGAAAAATCTGAAATCTTAAAATACATTGGGGTGTGTGTGTGTGTGTGTCTGTGTGTGTTAAAACCCTCTAAAATAGAAGCAGTACATGTAGCTTTAAAAAACAAATACCCTCTCAATGGCCTATGTGGGGCTGCTTGGCAATGACAACAGTAGTGTCAGGCTTCAAACCTCAGTTTCTGTCATTAAAAGGCAGGAGGAAGGGAAGGAGCCTCTCCAGGGCTGTTCTGGCCTGGAAGCAACCACCAAGCAACTTGATAGCATGTGACATGAATGATTCACCCAGGGCTGCCACTGCTCTACGGCTCCTGTGAAATAGCACTGTATTGCACAGTGGCTATTTTTGCTGTTGTGTTGCCTACACTGTTGTTGTGAGGATAAAAAGGATGAGTTCAGAAAAGAGACACCTAAAGGGAGGCATGATAGAGAGTGTGGACAGAGAACTTTTTCTCCCTCTCTCAAAATAGCAGAACTTGATGGCATCCAATGAAGCTGATGAGCAGTAGATTCAGGATTGACAGAAGGAAACACTTTACTCATTGAGTGATTAAATGTGGAATTCACTGCTAGAGGATGTAGTGATGGCCACAAACACAGACAGCTTTAAAAGGAGATTAGACAGCTTCATGGAGGATAGGTCTATCAATAGCTACCTGCCCTGGTGACAAAAGGGAACCCCCACATTCAGAGGCAGTAAACCTCTGAATAACAGTGCCAGGAGGCAACATCAGGGGAAATCTTCAGCCTCTAAGCCCTACAGCCGGCCTTCCGAGTAACCTGTTGGCCACTGTGTGAGACAGGATGCTGGACTAGATGGACCACTGGTCTAATCCAGTAAATGATAAATACAGCTGAAGACAAGGAGCAAATAAAAAGTAGGTTTGGTTGGTGGGTTGGATGGACAGAAAGAGCAGGAAAAGCTGAGATATGGGGACTACCAGGAGAAGGGAAAGGAGAAATAGTGTGGGGAGGGGGATACCAGAGAAAGTGAGGTGCCCCCCCAGAAGGCCTTGCTGGTTCCCCACTGCACAATGGGCCCCACACACAACAGGGCCATCATGGAAAAGCAAATCTCCGTTAATGTTACATCAGTGGTACACGACTGTGTGGGAATATTACACTTTAGAGAAAATATCATTATCAACGCCAAATATTAACAGTTTTGAAAAACAATCTTTGTTTTATTCCAAATGGGTAGATTTTATTGAAGCTGCTCTTTCAAACCAGTTTGTTCCATCTTCTACCACACCGGAAAGGTACAAAGAAATAATAGCTATTTTTTAACCTACCTGTAATTCATGTTATATAATAAAATGACAAAGGTCATATGTTTTTGTTATTTAGGAAAGTTATAGTAGTGTTAAGTGTTGTATGTTTATAACTATAAAATAAGGCTTTACTTAAATTATATTTGAATAGCTAATGTTGTATCATTGTACTGTATCACTGTGATTATATATATGTTATTTGTATTTTATATTATTGAAAATTAAATAATAAAAAAAGTCACACACACACAAAAAAAAACAGGGCCATCATCTTACTGGGAAGAGGCTGCCGGGGGAGAGAAGGCTGAATACAGCAGGGAAGATAAAGGTAGGGGCCTTTTCTGCGGGGATGCCCCAGTTGTGCAACCCCCCTCCCCTTATTTGTCCCCCTGGTTGAAGGCTTTTGAGAAGCAGCCAAGCACAGTTTTACTTGACCAGGGTTTGCTATTGCGTTTGATAAGAGATCTGTTAGCACCTGCCGTTACTGGCTCTTCCAGTGCATAGGTTTATACTGAGGTTTTACTTTTTATACACCAGCCTGAGTACTAGAATCCAAACGCAGGGCATGTTTACATTTAAAGCTTATATTACATTTTATTTATTTAAAATCTGTATGCTTGTAAAAAAACAAAAACCCCATCAACTGTGAAGGAAGCATAACCCTTAGCAATCCTATGGGGTCTCGCCCTCCAGAGCTGACCTTGATGAGGATCAGCAAATCTTCCAAATCTTTGCCATCCCATTTATCAAAGGGCTCAAGAAGCTGCAAGCGCTGGCTGGTAGGGCTCACATCCACATGCTGGTTGCTGCCATCCTTTGGAGGGTATTGGTAAGTGTCTTGTCCTGGATCAAAATCCTGGAAGGAAGCAGGAGTCAGAGGTTACTGCTCTAAGGAGGAAGCCAACATTACCCAGAATGGAAAAGCTAAACTGAAAAAATTCAAAGCAAGACCTCATGTCTGTCCTCTGCCATTAAGGGCTCCGATGCTCTTTTGATCACCTAATGTATTCCCGCAGAAGTACACCACCCTCCCTGTCCAGAGGGATCACAGCCCATGTTCCGTAAGACACTTTAGCACATTCTGTTATTTAGATCAGCTATGCAAGCAGCCAATAACACCGAACTGTTTCCAACAGTCACCCTTTTAATAATATTCCCATTCTTCATCCCCAGCTGGTAGGAAGTTACACAAAAGTAGCAAGATTACCAGTTTGGGCAGCTCATCAGCATCAGGTGCCTCAAGTTTGAACTTCTTGCCATCAGCTCCTGTCAGGAAGTCTCTCTCTGGATTGAACTTCAGAGAGCCAGCAAGAGACAGGGCTGTGACTATCTAGAAACAAAAACAAACACACACCTTTACGGATAAACTTATTCCCTTCACCCTATACACCTCAGTTATCATTTTCCTTCAGTAATGTGTGCCCTAGTTTTACCAAGCTCTAGAACACAAACTAAATCACACTGACACAGAGAAACATCTGCTGTGAAAGCCTAATGTTAACATGAAGTGGAATAAAGGAACATTTGCTGAACTCCAGAATCAGCCTGATTAATCAGGCAGTAAATCTTTTAGTGTCTGGGTACTCTTTTACCCCACCTTTCCTCCCAAGCGCTCAGGAGATAGCATGCATTTTGTCATTGCAACTTGCCTATGAGTTCGATGAGACTTAAAGTGTGGTTGGCCCAAGGTCACCCAGTGTACTCTGCAGCAGAGGGCTGGATCCAGCTCCCCCCAGTTTAAGTCCAAAACTTTCCAGCTGGTCCTAGCTCCTTCATTTCTAGGGAGTAGCTACTTGCAATCTAATTTCAGGGACTTGTGGCCTAAAGATTCACTAGCTAGTGTTTGTGTCCATGGGAATATTTCCACACCATAGGAGGGTTTCACACATTAGGTCTTCATAGGGATCACAGCAGGACCAGTTCTGAACCCCACTGTCCTTGATGCACAAGCTGGACACCTGCCATACCTCTGGAGATGTCACAAAGGCATGCGTCTCTGGGTTGGCATCATTGCGACCTGTGAAGTTCCTGTTGTAGGATGTAACAATTGTATTCTTTTCTCCCTTTTTGATATCTTTCCTGCAAAGACAGAGAAATGGCTATACACTTTTCAAAACTCGCTTAGCAGCACAGCATCTGCTTGGCTTGCAGAAGGCACCAAGTTCCATCCCTGGCATCTCCAATTAAAAGGATCAGGTGGTACGCAATGTGAAAAGCCATGACTTGACACCATGGAAGAGCCACTGCCAGTCAGAATAGACAACATCAACCTTAATGATCTGACTCAGTATAAGGCTGCTTCATGGGTTCAAATGTCCCATCACCACAAGAAAGAACTGTGATGTGCCTAAAATTGATAAAACTCTTTCCTCTGTAGTCTAGAAGAGTCTTCTGCTTGAAGTGGCTTGTCAACAAAATACGAATCAAATTTAAGGGCCTTGGACAAGGCAGAGAAAAAATATCCCTAAAGTAAACTAAGCAACCTGCATCCATGTCCTGAAATCTATAGAGTTGCTTTCCAAACTTACAGACTTAAACACATTTGACAACAGCCACAGTTAAAAAGTTAAGGACTGCATGTCATTACAGGTGATCTTCCTTGAGGGGTAAAATATAAGAAAAATGGCAGGCATGCAAATAGTGCTCCCACTCACCAGTTAATTTGGGTCTTCAGTAGAACGAAAATTTTTGGCTTGCAAGGACTTTTGTGTATTGGAATTAATTTATGTGCTTCATTTCCCATTTTAAAAAGACAAGGGTGAGTTCAGGAACATAGCAGCTTCCCCTCCCAGTTTTCAATCTTACCTGTCCCACTGGCCTATGCATGGCCCACATGCATTGGCGAGAACAACTCCACCAACATCACGCAGGATTTTTGCCTGAGGCGAAAAACAAAATTTAGCTATCCGAAAAGCAACCAATATCCCGCATCCCATGCAATGCATCATGATAAAACACAATTGCGAGCATACTCACATAACCATCCCTTTCAATGGTGGCTCGGATCTGTTCTGAACCAGGAGTGATGGTGAACTGAGACTTGCACTTAACCCCATGAGCTAATGCTTGTTTTGCCACTGCAGCAGACCGACCCATGTCTTCGTAGCTTGAATTAGTGCAGCTACCGATCAGCCCTGTGCAGATTAAGAACAGAACATCCAAGATAGTATGACACTTCAATATTCTGGCCTAACCCCTTTCCTGGAGGAAGTGTAGCATAGATACTGTACCGGATGGGTACTCTTGTCAAACAATCACCCTTATAAGGTTTTCACTCCAACCTCCCTATGAATTTTCAGTTCCATATCTGATAACTGGGTAGCCTTTAGGTAGCGTGTCACTCTTTTTATGTGGTAAATAAACTTTCATTATGAAGCTGTTTTACCACCTTATTACTGTTTGATACTTTGTTGGCTTGCACTCCAAATAAGCAATTGTGACTGAGGAGGGTATGTACCTCTATAGATTCTCCCTCAGAAATAGGCACCTAGGGAAACAGAAACCAAATTTATTGGAATAAACAGGCAGGGGTTCGAAAATTCTATTTACAAGTGAACTCTAAATAGGTTTGGTAAGAAGAGGTTCAAATATACACCCAAAACTGTTTTTATACAACATTAGAGATATTTTGTGAGTTATTTTCCCTGGTTTATTTTGGCTTGATGCTGTTAGAGACGTTTCACTGCTTTTACTAGTGTCCCTTAAACCTTCTTTTGATCTTGTTTCTGGATGGTCACACAGACTTGACCAGGGGTTTTCCTATCTGTCTCTTCTTCCTCTGGCCAGATTGTTATTCTCTTCTCCTTACAAGCAATAACCTCTTTTGACTTGCTTGAGGGACCTCTGTGCCTCCTCAAACCTTTTGGTCAAATCCCTGTCTTCCAGAAGAACAGCCTCTGTAAACTGGTATCAGCTTCCATACTGAGAATGTCTTATTCTCCACTCAAGTGGTGTTTCTGTGTTTCACACAAGATTTATTTATTTATTTATTTTATTATATTTCTATCCCGCCCTCCCTACAAACGGGCTCAGGGAGGCTCACAATTTAGGGCACCATGTGCCAAATATAAAAACATATAAAAACACATAAAACAAAATAAAACAACCATATTTTACAATTAAAGTGCTCAGTGATGTTAGTCCTTGAATCAAATTTAGATGGCATAGTGTAGTTGTAATACAAAGTCCCGGTTCAGCGGTAATCGATCTGTCACGATGCTGTGGCTCGATCTTCATAGGGCCGGCCCGCTACCCTGTTGTTACTAACGATAATAATTGGTGGTAGTGGCAGTGGCAGCTCCTAATGAAAAGCCTGGTGGAAGACCTCCGTCTTGCAGGCCCTGCGGAACTGTAAAAGGTCCCACAGGGCCCTGATCTCCTCCGGAAGCTCGTTCCACCAGGTAGGAGCCACCACTGAAAAGGGCCTGGCCCTGGTTGCAGCAAGCCTGGCCTCCCTGGGGCCTGGAATCACTAGCCGATGTTGTGACCCCCACCGTAGTGCTCTCTGGGGTATGTGCGGGGAAAGGCGGTCCCTCAGGTATGCCAGACCCTGGCCATATAGGGCTTTAAAGGTAAGTACCAGCACCTTGAAGCGAATTTTGTATGCTATTGGCAGCCAGTGCAGTGCTTTCAGCACAGGCCAGATGTGCTCCCATCTAGGGAGACTCATCAGGAGCCTGGCCACAGCATTCTTATTTTTATTTATCTTTAGATTTGTATCCCGCCCTACCCCGAAGGCTCAGGGCGGCTAACAAGGGCACAAAGTGCCAAGATTAAAACAATAAAAGCACATAATATAAAACAATAAAATACAGTAACAAAATCACAGTGCTCCATTTGTCATAAGATGGGGTAGATCTTAAACCCAATGGTAACTTTCCCGAAATCTATCATCCTTTTCCTGCCAGGGGCACCTCGCACCCCCAAAGGGGCCAGATAGTCGTGGTGATGGTGTGATAGTGCATAGATGGCAATGATGGAGTAATAGTGGCGACAGCTCCTACTCGAAAGCCTGGCGGAAGAGCTCCGTCTTGCAGGCCCTGCGGAACTGAGAAAGATCCCGCAGGGCCCAGATCTCCTCCGGGAGCTCCTTCCACCAGGTAGGAGCCTGAAGCGAATCCGGTACGCTATTGGCAGCCAGTGCAGCGCTTTCAGCACAGGCTGAATGTGGTCCCTCCTCGAGAGACCCATCAACAACCTGGCTGCAGCATTCTGCACTAGCTGCAGCTTCCGGATTTGCGACAAAGGCAGCCCTATGTAGAGAGCGTTACAGTAGTCTAGCCTTGAGGTAACCGTCGCATGGATCACCGTGGCCAGGTCCTCACGGCTAAGGTAGGGGACCAACTGCCGAGCCAGCCGAAGATAATAAAAGGCTGCCCTGGCAGTGGCTGCCACCTGGGCCTCCATCGTTAAAGAGGAGTCCAGGCGCACACCCAAACTCCTAACCTCCGACGCTGGTACCAAAGGCACCCCATCAAAAGTCGGGAGAGGGAGCCCCAACCCTGAGCTGATCCGACTCAGGCCCAGGACCTCCGTCTTTGCCGGGTTTAGTTTCAACCGGCTCAGTCTGAGCCACCCAGCCACAGCCTGTAACGCCCGATACAGGTCATCCGGGGCAGAGTCCGACAAGCTGCCCAGCATCAGATAGAGCTGGGTGTCATCTGCATATTGATGGCACCCAAGCCCACAACTCCGGGCAATCTGGCCAAGGGGGCGCATGTAGGTGTTAAACAACATCGGGGACAGCACTGCCCCCTGAGGCACCCCACACTCCAGGGGATGTCTCTGGGACTGCTGGTCCCCTATCGCCACCCTTTGTCCCCGACCTTGGAGAAAAGAGGCGAACGATTGAAGGGCAAGCCCCTGAATCCCCGTGTCGGCGAGGCAGTGGGCCAGCAGCTGGTGGTCGACCGTGTTGAACGCGGCCGACAGATCTAACAACACCAGTGCTGCCACACCACCCCGATCCAGCTGCAGCTTCTGGATTTGTGACAAGGACAGCCCCATGTAGAGAGCGTTACAGTAGTCTAATCTCGAGGTGACCGTTGCATGGATCGTTGTAGCCAGGTCATCGCGGTCGAGGAAGGGAACCAACTGCCGAATCAGCCAAAGGTGGTAAAAGGCCGACCTGGCAGTGGCTGCCACCTGGGCCTCCATAGTTAAGGAGGGATCCAGGAGCACTCCCAGACTCCTAACCTCCAGCGCCAGCACCCCATCAAAGGCCGGGAGAGAGATCCCCATTCCCAGACCACCCCGACTCAGGCACAGGACCTCCGTCTTTGCTGGGTTTAGTTTCAGCTGGCTCAGTCTGAGCCAACCAGCCACGGCTTGCAGTGCCCGGTTCAGGTCTTCTGGGCTGGAGTCCGACCGGCCACCCAACATCAGATAGAGCTGGGTGTCATCCGCATACTGATGGCACCCCAGCCCATACCTCCGGGCAATCTGGGCAAGGGGGCGCATATAGATGTTAAAAACATCGGGGAAAGCACCGCCCACTGAGGCACACTGCATTCAAGCAGGTGTCTTCGGGACTGCTGTTCCCCTAGCGCCACCCTTTGTCCCTGACCCTGGAGAAAAGAGGCAAGCCATTGAAGGGCAAGCCCCTGTATCCTTGCGTCGGTGAGGCGGTGGGTCAGCAGCTGGTGGTCGACCACGTCAAATGCAGCCGACAGGTCTAACAACAGCAGTACTGCCACACCGCCTCGATCTGGAAGGGATCCTGGACTGGAAGGGATCTAGGATGGAAGCGTCATCCAGAAAACCCTGTAACTGTGTCACCATCACCCTCTCAATTAGTTCGCCCAAACAGAGCAAATTGGAAACCGGCCGATAGTTGGTCAATTCGGCCGGATCCAAGGTTGGTTTTTATTTCTCTCCACTCCTTGAATAGCTGAGGTACTGACACTTCTTTGCCAAACTCACTATCTCCACCCTAAGTCTGTTATTTGCAGAGGCCACAGCACACTCGCTCTGCTCCAGACAGGGCTTATCAGACCCCTTTTCTCTTCAGAATCTCTCATTAGGAGTTCTCTGTTAACTCCCTCTCTAGCTCCACTCCAACTGATTCACACCAACTAGCTAACTAACTCCTTCCCACATGAATGTTTTTAAACAACTCAGTGTTCCATTCCACAGTAAGCTGCCTTCACCCAATCAGAATGAGCTCCGTGAGCTGTCAATCGTTTTTCAGCAAGCTCACACTTTTTCCAGCAGCCTTGCCTAAAAGCCTGCAATTGTTTGCTGTCCGGCACAGATACTTATTTTTCTATGGCGAGAAGAGCCAGCAAAACACATGGTATCTTTAATTTCCTGCACTGCACAGCAATCAACACTGAAGCAAAACCAGCCCAAGTTTCACTGTATCAGCATGCAATTTTAAAAGTTTAAGCATGTTCCTTAGGGAAGAGGAGAACAAGAATCATGGCAGGGCCGAAGAATGCAATATCGCCAGCACAGGTGTCTTCATGTTCTAAGCCAAGGAAACCCCACTGCAACCATGTGGCCTGCTCGTTGCACAGTGCACTTGGATCCACAAAGTGTTCTTCCCAGCTGAAGGAGTGTTTCCACTGCTCCCAGCCTGGAGAGCAAAGTACTTAAAAACTAGAAGCTGCAAACTACTCTGCAATCAGAAAATGCTACATACCAACTCTGATATCCGCTGGCCAACCTTTCTGTTCTGCCACAGTGCCAATCTCATCTACAGTGTGTGCCAAGTCTGGAGTGAAAGGCCCGTTGATAAGAGGCTTCAGCTTCAGGAAAGAAAAATCCCATTAATGATTTCACAATTCTCTGATCACTTTATGAAAATCATGATTCATCCAGAGAACACAGAAATATTGTCATCACTCTGCAGCACAGCGATCTCATTTGCAAGGAGAAACCCAAATCTAATAGGTGCACTGACAAACCTGGTGGGAGGACACTTAAAAGCAGGATGAATTCAAACTTATTAGCCCATCTGTTTGGACTAGTTTTTAAGCTAGCTAGGTGCATGGTTATAACACAAACTTATCCTGTTCTTCTTTCCCCCCCGAGTCCAGTCCAATGTGACCTAAACATATTTGACAAAAACAATGTTGCCTCCCTGCTGAACTACATAAACACTTTGAATATAGTACAGTGCTAAACACACACCCTTGTTAGGTCCCCTACCCCAACTTTCACACCAAATGATGAATCTAAAGAACAGTCTCTCACCTCATCAAGGTTAATTTCAATCAGCTGGTCATAAGTACAGCCAGGATCAGGCTTTAAGTATTCTTGGAATTCATCTGCCAAACTAGCAATCTCTGAAATTAGAAAGGAGAAGAATCTGAAGTCAACATGAAAACCCATGACAGTCATTTTTTGTAGACAAAGAGTCACACCTAGGCTGGAGTTTCCAAGCATGTGTCACTCCCAAACCCCAAGTATACTTCTGAAAGATCAATCTAAAAATAAAAGGCAATCCAAGTCTTGCCAGAGATCAGCCCCATACATTTTCATTATCTTTATTTAAAGCGACCTTAGAATAATAAGTCTAATCAACAAAGGCATTAATTCTACTACATATGTTTAACACAGCACATTCACAGCACCCCACTGCCTCTTGATAGCTACGGCTAGGCTTGAACCCAGGCTAGAGTACACGCTAATGCTGCCTTGCACCACTTTGACTGATTTACCATCTCTTTTTACTCAGAGGATTTCTCTCCAAGGGATGTCTCCCTGTATATTCAATTTCACCCCAAGAAATAAATGACTAGTGAGGTTGCAACTTTCCCTTGGTTAAGAGACAAAAGACTAAGTCTAATTACAGTCTTAATGCCTTCCAACCCCCTTTCAAATGTTTAGTCTTTTCGGTATACATGAATCATTCATACAGAAATAGAAACAAAAAACAAGGCAGCCTCGCACCATCAAGCTCATTGTACTGCCGCAGCTTGTAAAGCAGGACATCCAAAAGCTCTGCTGAAACAATTACACAGCAACACAAAGCAAAGCAATGGATGCTGCCATGCTACGGGTGACAACTTCTCCTGGACACTGCTGATAGAAAGTCAGCACTGAGAACTGAAGGAGAAAGTTCCCTGGAAGTGGGTTGTTTACCTTCCCATAGGGGAAAAAAAATCTCTCTTCCACGGGGAAGATGACAGCTGTGCAAAAACTGTCCCAGCTTCTCTTACCTCTGTCTCAACCAAGGCAAGATAGTGGAAGGCAACCATTAGCCTCCCACATGATTCCACCCCTTGACTTTCCCCACAAATTGTTACCAGCTCGTCCAGTCTTGTTCAAATATTTCTTCATCCGGTGATTGTAAGGGAAAATTGAAGTGGTGGCACCAATCTCTGCTCCCATATTGCAGATAGTTGCCATTCCTGGAGGAGGAAAAAACAACAACAACAACAACAACCCATATCACAAGTGCGACAAGCACCAAAAGCTTCAAAGCTTTTCTAGAGCTGGTTCATTGCCATCTTTAAGTCATAATTTAGTTTAGGAGTTTAGAACGAACGTTCTGGCTTGTTAAATAAATATAAATATCACTTAAGAAACTTCTACAAACTATATGTATCAAAGTTAAAACTACGATATGATTGAGATTAATGAAACTCTTCCTTCCCACAAAACTACTGCTGTCTTTACCAAGGAAAAAGAACCCAGCCATATTACACTACCATTTGGGGAGGGGGCATGGACCGGTGGTGGATCTTCTGCTTGGCAGGTAAAAGGCACCAGGTTCAATCCCTGCTATCTCCAGTTAAAAGGATCAAGTAATAGGAGATGTGATAGACCTTCAACTGAGACTTTGAGCCTCTGTCAGTCTGAGTAGACCATACTGACCTTAATGGCCCAAGGGCCTGATTAACTATAAGACACCTATAGGTGTACCATTAAAAACATTTATTAGCTGCCTTTCTCCTTTGCAGAACTCAAGGCAGCTTACAATCTAAATAAAACATTATAAAAAAACAATAAAAACTAATATGAAGCTCATAAAGTCACAGTTTAGTAACTCCAATTAGGACTGCCAATAAGAAAAGGTAAACCAATCAAAACGCAGTCCTAAATAAAACTGCCTTCGACTGCCTCCTGAAGATCAACAACGAGGAGGCCAGGCACACCACCCTGGGGAGGGTGTTCCATAACTATGGGGCTGCCACTGAATAGGCCCTCCCATGCCCCCACCAAATAAGCTTCTTTGATTGGTGGGAAAGTCAGGAGGTCCTCTCCCTGTGATCTTAATTCTTGGGCAGGGACGTGTGGGACAAGACAGTCCATCGGACACCCTGATCCCAAGCCGTGTAAGGACTTTAAAATCAACACCTTCGATGGGGCTCAGTAGTGGATCAGTAGCCAGTATAATTGCTGTAGTACTGAGGACATGCTCCTGATAGCTGGCCCCCGCCCAGAAAGCCTAGCTGCAGCATTCTGTACTAGATGCAGCTTCCAAACACTCTTCAAGGCTGGCCCCCAAGTAGAGTGCCTTGCAATAGTCCATTCTAGATGTATCTAAGGCATGGATCACTGTGGCTAGCTCTGACTGATCCAGGGACAGACACGGTTGATGCCCCAGCTGGAACTGGGCCAATGCACTCTGAACCACAGCAGCCACCTGGTTTTCTAAGGTGACTGCTGTGTCAAGCAGCACTCTCAAGCTGTGAATCTAGCTTTTCAAGGGAAGTATAACCCCGCCCAAGATGGGGGAGATCTTAAGTGCCTGGTCTGCCTTTCTTCTAACCTAGAAGACCTCTGTCTTGTCAGGATTAAGTTTCAGCTTGTTCACCCTCACCCAGGCCATTATTGACTCCAAGCACAAGTTCAGAACATAAAAAGCATGCTTGGAATTCAGTGGAAAAGCAAGGCAGAGCTGGGTTTCATCTACATATTGGTGACATCACAGCCCATACCTCTTGATGACCTCTCCCAGTGGCTTCATATAGATATTAAATAGCATGGGAGTAAGATGGAACCCCGCAGCACCCCACAGGTCAACAGTCACAGGGAAGAGCAGGAATCCCGGAACACCACCTTCTGAGTGCGAACACCCCCCCCCGATAGAACTTGAACCACCGTAGTACAGTGCCCCTTAGTCCCAGTGCTGAGAGGCCACTCAATAGGATACCATGGTCAATAGTACCAAAGACTGCTGAGAGATCCAGCAGAACTAGCAGGGTCCTGTTCCCCCGTCTAATTCTCGATAGGGATCATCAGTCAAGGCAACCAAAGCAGTCTCTGTTCCAAATCCTGAAGCTAGATTGAGATGGGTCCAGAAAATCATTATCTCCCAAGAACCCCTGGGGAGCTGAGAGGGCACAACCCACGCTAGCACCTTGCCCAAGAATGGAAGATTCGAGATTGGCTGGAAATTTTCTGACACAGTCGGGTGCAGGGACAGATTGTTCAAAACAGGTCTAATCACTGCCTCCTTGAGCATGAGCAGCACAACTCTTGCTCGCAAGGAAACATTTACCATTTCCCCTCACCCACTCAGCCAGTGCCCCACTGGCAGCTTTGATCAGCCAGGAAGGGCAAGGGTTGAGAGCACAGGTGATCGGTCTCACCTGTCCAAAGATCTTCTCCACGTCCTCAGGATCCACATGCTGAAAATTATCCATACAAATCAGACAACCAGATGCCAGAGGTACATCATCTGGGCATGCATCTACGCCAGCAGCTAACCCAGAGTGATCTGAGCAATTTTCTGCAAAGTAAATGGCAAATTGGTCACAGCAGGCTGTCAGGTGGTCAGAGTCCAAATTCATGGGGCTATGATGTAAAAGTTCCTGAACAACACAAAACAGCTCAGCCGGACAATTATGTGCAGTTGCAATGGTGGCAGAGAAAGACAGTCTCTTTGCTGTCATCACTGCTACAGAATATGCTCCAATATGGGCTCTACGCTGTGTTCGATCAGTTTCACTCTGAGTTTTCTGCCAGTGACGCTCTAGTGGTCATCTAGTGGTCATCCATAGCATCATAGAGTTGGAAGGGGCCGTACAGACCATCTAGTCCAACCCCCTGCCCAATGCAGGACCAGCCTAAAGCATCTCTGACAAATATTCGTCCAGCCTCTTCTTGAAAGCTGTCAGTGCAGGGGAGCTCACCACCTCCCTAGGCAACTGATTCCACCTTTGAACCACTCTGACCGTGAAAAAGTTTTTCCTAATATCCAGCCAATACCTTTCTGCATGTAATTTAAACCTGTTGCTTCAGGTCCTATCCTCTGCTGCCAACTGGAACAGCTCCTTGCCCTCCTCCAAATGACAGCCTTTCAAATAGTTAAAGGGAGCAATCATGTCCCCCCTCAGTCTCCTCTTCTCCAAACTAAACATTCCCAAGGCCCTTAGTCTTTCCTCATAGGGCTCAGTCTCCAGACCCCTGATCATCCTCGTCGCTCTCTTCTGCATCCTCTCAATTTTGTCCACATCCTTTTTGAAGTGAGGCCTCCAGAACTGCACACAGTACTCAAGGTGCGGCCTGACCAAGGCAGTATACAGAGGGGCTATGACCTCCTGCAATGTTGATGCTATGGCCCTTTTAATACAACCCAAGACTGAATTTGCCTTTTTTGCCACCGCATCACACTGACTGCTCATGTTTAGTTTACAGTCCCCCCTTCCCCCAAGATCTCTTTCACATACACTACTCCCCAGAAATGTATCCCCCATCCAGTATTTGTGCTTGACATTTTTGTGGCCCAGATGTAATACTGTGCACTTATCTTTGTTGAATTGCATCCTGTTTGCAACTGCCCACTTCTCCAGAGTATTCAGGTCTTGTTGCATTTTAACTCTATCTTCTTGGGTGTTTGCTACTCCTCCCAATTTGGTATCATGAGCAAATTTAATGAGTAGCCCTTCTACTCCTTCATCCAGATAACTGGTAAAAAGGCCAGTCCACAGTCTTCCAGTTTGCCCATCAGAATGTCATGGGGAACCTTATCAAAAGCTTTACTGAAATCCAGGCAAATCACATCAACAGAGTTCCCACAATCCACTAAGCTTGTCACACGATCAAAGACAAGATCTGTTGGGGACAAAACCATGCTGACTTCCCTGAATCACTAAGTGGTCCTTCAGATGCTTACATATCGATCCCTTTAAAATCTGCTCTAATATCTTCCCAGCAACGGAAGTCAGACTGACCAGCCTATAGTTTCCCAGGTCATCCTTCTTCCTTTTCTTAAAGATTGGGATAACATTCGCTCTTCTCCAATCTTGTGGCATATCCCCAGTTCTCCAGGAGGCCTTGAAGATGATGAACAGAGGCTCTGCAAGTTCATTAGAAAGTTCTTGAGTGGCAAAAAAGTCATTAAGCCTGTCTGCTTTTTCTCTGTCCTCCACCAGAGTTTCTCCTTCTACTCCCAAAAGCGGTCCACTTGCCTCTTTTACCTTGCATTCGCTTCTCACATATCTGTAGAAGTTTTTCTTATTGTAGCGAGCCCCCCTGGCCAGACCCAACTCATACTGAGTTTTGGTTTCTCTGATGGCTAATCTGCAGTACCTAGTAACTCTCATATACTCCTCTTTAGAGGTCTGACCTTCCCTCCATTTCCCTCTATTTCCTTTTTCTCCCTCAGCTTATTCTGAAAGTCTCAGTTCATCCACATCGGTTTCTTGGAGCCCTTACCATGTTTCCATCTTGCTGGAATAGTGAGGGCTTGAGCTCGCAAAAGCTCATGTTTGAGAAAAGCCAACTCTTCACCCGCTCCTTTCCCTTCCAGCACACTCCCCCATGGAATGACTCCCATCAAGCCTCTGAGTTTGTTTAAGTCGACCCTAAGAAAATCTAACCTACGAGTCTGGCTACGAACTTCCTTGCTCCCCGCACAGCAACTGGAATTCAAGGAGGACATGGTCACTTCCCCCTAAGGTCCCCACCACCTTCACCCCGTCTATCAATTCTTCCCTGTTGGTTAATATCAAGTCTAGTATGGCCGAGCCCCTTGTACCTACCTCCATCATTTGAAAAAGGAAGTTATTGGCCAGACAGGTTAGGAAGTTGCATGATTCTTGTTGCTTTGTTTATTTATTTATTCATTGGATTTATATCCCGCCCTCCCCTTGATGGGCTCAGGGCGGCTTCCAACAATAAAATAGAATACAATTAAAACAATTTAAAACACAATTTACATTTTAAAATACAATACAGCATCACATAACACAACTCTAGTAAGAACCAGATGTCTCAGTGGTTAATGATGTTGAATTTAAGTTTTTGCTTGGAGATCTTCAAAATTTAGGATCTCAAAGGACCCAGGCTACTGATGGAGGAACCCAAGGAGGGGGACACCCGCTGCCTCAACCAAAGGCCTGGCGGAAGAGCTCCGTCTTGCAGGCCCTGCGGATGTTGAATGATGTTGAATTTAAGTTTTTGCTTGGAGATCTTCAAAATTTAGGATCTCAAAGGACCCAGGCTACTGATGGAGGAACCCAAGGAGGGGGACACCTGCTGCCTCAACCAAAGGCCTGGCGGAAGAGCTCCGTCTTGCAGGCCCTGCGGAATTGTAGTAAATCCCGCAGGGCCCTGATCTCACATAATAATAATAATGCTTTAGATTTATTAATCGCTTTCCCCATGAGTGGGCTCAAAGTGATTTACAGTTACACTCTTTAGACAGGGGATTAACAATGTTTCATAGGGGATAGGAAAGACAACATATAATTCATTTTTAATTGCAAACGCCGTAACTGCACGGTGGAAACGTCTCTGGCTTGGATCAGTCATGTCCCGAACGGCTGCATCAACCGGCTTGATGACGTTGGGGCTTCAGGACCCGTATGTCGTATCGCCACACTGCCACCACCTGGCCGGAGCATCCCACTGCAGGGATTTTTTCTTGTAGCCAACCCTCCCACAAGGGAGATTGGTGTGCCCACCCTCTCTAAGGAGTGGTTCCCATTTTATCTACTCGCCGAGGCTTTCAAAACGCTGGGTGGACGACGAGCTGGGGACAACAGGCTGGCTGCTCACACCAGCGCGGGGCTCGAACTGACACAGTTTGGATGTTAAGACAGTGGGATATACCCACTGTGCCACCGCTCCCCTTGAGAGCTCATTCCACCAGGCAGGGGCCAGGGCCAAAAATGGGGCCCATATGGGGCCCCTGTTGAGCCTGTCTCCCAGCATACATCGGGAAAGTTGAAGTCTCCCATAATTATAAGGTTCTGATGTCTGGATACTCTACCAATCTGTTCAAGGAGGACAGCATCCATTTCCTGTCCCTGGTCAGGCGGTCTGTAGCAGACTCCAACAACAATACCCTTTCTCCTACCTCCCCTTATTTCCACCCATATACTTTCCATGGGGCTGTCAACCCCATTCTCCAGAACTTCCTGACAATCTATCCCTCTCTTCACATACAGCGCCACTCCGCCTCCTCTTCTACCCTTCCGGTTTTTCTTGAACAATTCATACCCATCCACTACCACATCCCAGTCATGAGAATCGTCCCACCAAGTCTCAGTGATTCCTATTATATCATAGCCCTCTGTTTGCAAGAGAATCTTCAAGCTCTTCCTTCTTATTACCCAGACTACAGGCATTGGTATATAGGCACTTGTAGCCTTGTAACTTTGTTTGACCTGTCCTACCCAGGTAGGCCCCCGCTGTTTTCTCTTCTTCATCGAAGTCCCCATGTTTATCATCCCCTTCCCCTTGCAGCTTCAATTTAAAGCTCTCCTGATTATGCTCTCCAGGCTCTTTCCGAACGTTTTCTTCCCTGACCTTGAGAGGTGAAGCCCATCATGTGCTAGAAGGCCTTAAGAAAACTTGTCTCGTGGTCCCAGAACCCAAAGCGCTCCTGCCGGCACCACCATCTCAGCCAACGATTCACCTCGAGTATGGTCTGTTCTCTTCGCACTCCTCTTCCTTTGACTGGAAGAAGAGAATACCACCTGTGCCCCCAATGCCTTCAACTGCCTTACAAGAGCTTCATAGTCCTCTTTAATTTTCATGATGGTATTCGCGGCCGTGTCATTTGTCCCCACATGAACCAGCACAAACAGGTACTGATCAGTAGGTCTTATCAGTTTTGGCAGTCAGTCTGTAATATCCTGGCCCCAGGTAAGCAACACATCTCTCGGAGTAGGGGATCCGGCCTGGACACATTACGTTCCATACCCCTGAGCAAAGAGTCCCTGACAACCACCACTTTCCTTTTCCTTCCACTTCCGTGAAGAAAGGTTAAAGCGCTTCGGGCTCTTTAGCTTGGAGATACGACAGCTGAGGGGTGACATGATCAAGGTTCTTAGTCTGATGGTCATTTCGATACAAGTAGCTGCTGGGTAGTGGAAGCTTCAAGTCCTTCCACATAGGAGTGGAGAACTTTAATGCCTTCTTGATGCATCGGTGACCATCTGCTTCCTGAAGGGTAACCCCTTTCTTTATTTGCCTCTTGGAAAGTAGTTCATAGTCTTCAGCAGCCCTTTTGCTGATTAGCTTAGCCAATGACTGATAAAGTGTTGTAATCTCACCAACCCTCAAGGAATGAACAACAAACCAGGCCCATCACTTGAATGCGAAGAGATACTGAATGCTCTGGTGATTAACGTCAGCTACCAAAACTTCCCAAGCCACACTCCCAGATGCAAAGAGATATTCCCTTACCTGTGCAGGAGATGGAGTCCACACCAGGCCCATGGTACTCTATGATGGCTCCAGTACCACCTTTCACAGTGAGGATGCCAGCCACTTTCAGGATTATATCTTTAGGAGAGCTCCAACCTGACAGCTTGCCAGTTAGTTTTACACCAATTACCTAAAGAACCAAAGAATATACATGTTAAGCTCAAAGAAGGAGCCATTTCTCAACAATCTGCTTTTAATGTACAAAGTCCAAATTCTCAGAAAGTAAGATCCTTTTGCTCCTATATCCCAGCTCTTTGCATAGAAGAAATGTAAATATCCTCCACTGCCTCACCTTTGGGCATTTCAGTTCCCAAGGAATTCCTGCCATGACATCCACTGCATCAGCTCCACCAACTCCAATACAGATTCCACCCAAACCACCTCCATTGGGGGTATGGGAATCTGTACCAATAAGCATAACACCAGGATAGGAATAGTTCTCCAGGATAATCTGAGACAAAGGTCGAGATATAATTAGAGAAAGATTAGTATGACCTGAACATGGCAGACAGATTTAATTTAAAAAAGAGTTTGAAACTGTTTTCTGGCACTAAACCAAACACTGCTGCACTGGGCTTCATGAATTGTCAAAGCAATTTTAATCAAGGAGAAGATGAGAAATTAAGCCATCAGAAAGCCATACATGTAACCCATTATTTTAAACTCTTCCATGATGTGATTTCCCCTTTCAATCCCTGCTCTCAAAAGTGTAGTCTGATTACTCTGGCAACCATGGTAACTCCAATAGCTCAAAAACTGCTTCGAACATGGCCAATTATCCTAAAGGTCAAATACAACAAAGGCTGTTCATGCCCTTTCTAACAAGCAAGAGGTGTCTCATTTTTTGTTGTTTGTTTTAAAACTAAGAAATCCTGGCAAAGAAAAGGGAATAGTTAGTGTTCTACAATTGGTACCTGAAGGACCAAGGAAAACAGGAGTTCAGGTAACAGCCTGTGATCAGTTTGAATGTCTTTATCACAAATACAGACCACAATTTAGTTTGTGGAGTAGCAAATTCATTCAATTCTCTCAGGTTTATACTATCATAGGCTATATTCCAACAATGTATTTGATATGGAATAGAACAAAGTGTACAGCTCTATCAGTTTAAGTGGACTTCTGACCCACCAACCTTCTCTAATTAAACTGAAACACACATAAAGGATTCTGAAGGCACTTATTACCCCGCACAGACCCTCAATGATTTGCTAACCATCAGACTGCACTTCTACAAGCATGACCTCGAGTAGACAGCTGGAGAATTTGTCCAGGTTACGTTGTAGAACTGTGGGCCCAGGGAAGGAAAAATAACCTCATTAGGAAGCTAGACACTCAGTTCTACAAGGAAAGCCACACAGCAAAGAAAGCCCTGTCTCAAAGAGAGAGAGTGTCCTCTCCTGGCCATTGGGAAGGGAAGAGTTTACCTGATGAATGATTCCAGATCCAGGTTTCCAGAAACCAACTCCATATTTGGCACCTGCTGTGGCTAGGAAGTTGTAAACTTCTTGGTTAATTTCCTGTTTGTACACAAAGCACAGCAGTAAAGAGTTGAGATTTCTAATTTTCACAGAACTAGAGGCCAACCACCCCTCACTATACATTCATCCTCAATTTTACTCCATACATATACTTTTGAGGGTAAACGGTCAAAAGGACAATGACAATGTAGCTGTTTCAAGCAGATTTAGCAAAACATACATTTTAAAATAAAATAAAAGGTATCTTTCCATTCTTGAAAGACTAATAAATCCGTTTTCCATATGGAATTCATAAAGTGACTTCTACACCAGGCTTAACCTGCATGTAAAAAGGCATTCTATTTTAGGCTTATTTGATTTAGGAGGGCTGGCTTGACTACAGAGGCAACTTAAATGATGGCTCAGAGCAGGGGTCGCCAACCTGTTTGAGCTTATGGGCACATTTGGAATTCTGACAAGGCACGGTGGGCACAGCGACAAAATGACTGCCACAGGAAGCAGAGCCCGCCACAAAATGGCTGCCATGGCTTAACTTCAGTAGCACAGCGTAGATCCTTGTGCTGTGCTGGCAGCTGCTGCCAAGGCAACATTTACAAAAATCTACAAAGCCAATCAAAAGCCTTACCTGGCCCCACCCACTTCCTGAAAACACCTAAAAAGGTGTCAGCAGGCGCCATGGTGTCCATGGGGACCACACTGGGGACCGTCAGCTCAGACAATCAATTAATTTGGCTGTAACTCCAAGAAGCACACTCCAGGATTTGTTGCAATGTCACAGAGAATGCCCAGTTCTCAGCACAACTTGTAGATAATGTGGTACATCAAATATTAAGCAAAAGCCACTTTAACAAGTTTCCCTGTTTTCATTTAAACTGTTATCTTACAGTCACATTTCTTCTTGTATTATGTAGTACTTTCTATCCCTCAGTCTCCCTGAGACTCACATATTCCATATTTATTTTGCAGATGAGAAAACTGAAGCTACAATTCCAATGCTTATTAGATTAACTCCCTTGAGATCAACAGTCTTATTCTCATTCAGAATCAATGCCTTCAACAAAATGGAGGCTTAGATCTTAACTGTGTTTTCTACTGGTACAAAGCCAATCTGCCAGCACAAAAAAGGGGGGGGGGGGGAATGGCGTGATTTTTACCAAATCCCACTTGACCATAGACCCCCACTTCGTAACCTATACTGTTCCCTGCAGTCCATCAACTCACATGGACATGATTTCAAAGGACAAAGCAAGCTATAGGAGGAGACAGAAAGGTGACATCTGCAAATTCTGCTCCATTCATGCTAGAGAGACGTTTAGGCTTAGATCCTATCAGGACTACTCGTTTTAATGGCAGAGGACTTTGAGAAGCCATCAGTTTGAAGGTTTTCAATATTATGTAAGGGTTGTCCTTTTATTTACTAAAGCAAAAGACACTTTCAGGCCTGGGGCGGGGGGAGGAACAGTGTTTGGTTATCTGAAGAAAATACAACATAGTGCTGAGGAATGAAATCCTATATATATTATACTGAATCAGACACCAATTGCAAAAGTCTTGAAAAGACTGTTGTCATTAAATGAAGCTGCGCAACTGTAATTATAAAATACTAGGAGTAAGGCCCATTGTGGGAAGAAATACAACAAGTTCTACGAAAAGGCTCCAGGTGTATGTCCCGGCTGTGGCTGGTGGGGCAGCAGAGGGAAGCAGAAGATAGAGGGAGGCGAGCCATGTTTATTTCCTTCTGCTTAGCTATAAGGCAGGGCTGTCTCAAGTCATTTTGCTGCTCCAAGGGGATAGTATGGGAGGAGAGCCACATGCCATGTTTTCTGGGTTTCAAGTTCCATAGCCAGTTACAGGGTTGCCAACTTTGGGTTGGGAAATACCTGTAGATTGAGCGGTAGAGCCTGGGGAGGGCAGGGTTTGAGGTGGGGAGGGACCTCAGCAGGGTATAATGTCATAGAGTCCACTGCCCAAAGCAGCCATTTTCTCCAGATCTTGGAGATCTCCAGGTGCTGCCTGGAGTTTGGAAATACTAAAGGAAGGGCCAGGTTTGTTGAAGGACTTCAGTAAGGTATAATGCCATAGTGCACCCTCCAAAGCAACCATTTTCTCCATGGGGACTGATCTCTGTAGTCTGGAGATCAGTTATAATTTTTTAGGGCTTTTATAATTAATGTTTTATTGGTTTTTAGCAAACTTCAGTACATACATTCCATAACATTTTCAAAGATTTTCAAACAGTTTCAAACAGTACATAATATTTTTCAGTATTGATACAACATGTTGTTAACTAGATAATGTAAGTGCAGTACTACACTAAAACACAATTGCACTTGTATTTGACAATTTAAGTATGATAGTAACTCTAAACTCTATCCAAAGAGATGTCCAGGCCTTCCCTTTCCCCCCACCTTTCAACTTTACCTGAGTCCTGCCTCCAACATTCTAAACATTTTGCTGTTCCCCTCGCCCCCATAGCCAGTCAGGTTATTTGCATATGCAGCCTCATTGGCCTCTGCCTCGGAACACAGAGGTCGTTTGCATATGCGACTTGATTGGCTTTTGCCTCTAACATTCTAAACAGTTTGCTGTTCTGAGGTAAAATGTGTCCAATCTCCAGGTGAGGGCTGGAGATCACTCAGAATTACAACTGCTTTCCAGATGGCAGAGATCAGTTCCCCTGGAGAAAATGGTGGGCTCTGTATCCTTATATGCTGCTGAGGTGGCCTCTGTATGACAGCCAATGTGACGTAGCAGTCAGGGCTTCAGAGCACGGGAGAGGCTGCAGGTGCGTGGGGGGTGGAAAGCTGAAGAGGGGGAAATAAAGGTAGGTTGATGATTGGCTGGGAAGGAGATAGGGTTGCCAACTCCAGGGGGGAAATTCCTGGAGATGAGAGGGATGGAGCCTGGAGAGGGTGAGGAGGAGTGGGACCTCGGACACTTCCAAAGCCATAGACTCCACTCTCCAAACCAACCACTCCCTTCTGGGGAACCATCATTGCCATCACATGGAGATCACTCAAAATTACAGCTGTTCTTTAGGTAGCAGAGATCAGTTCCTCTGGAGAAAATGGTAGACTCATTGTCCTTATACCCTGCTGAGGTCGCCACAGCAAATTGACACTGAGTGTCCAAGGCCGGGACACCCGCCCAGAGCCTCTTTCTACAGCTCGTATTTATTATGCTGATTTATTCTGATCAGCAGTCAAACTAACACTACTTTCACTAAATACTTTACTACATTAATTTTGTTTGTGATGGAGAAGAGATGCATTGTATCCCAGGTACTCTTAAGAGCACCAGTGAAAGAGATGGTGCAAGAAATTATTAGCTGTCTTGACATGCCATCACTTCAAGGACATTACGTGAAGGAACAAACACCTGAAGACAGAAAAATTGTTCCTCCTCAAAACTGCTGAAGATTCCAGCAAGACTAGCAGCTTTGCAAACCTTATTTGCTTCAAATTAAGCCAATAAATGATGGCTGAACAGTCCTTATTCATGTGCCAAGATCAGAGCCCTGTTGCCTGGACAGCCATAATTTTTCAATGCCAAATAGCTACATCAGGAATGGAACCTAGACAGCAGAGGCTGGACCTTTATTTGTCCTAGTCAAGAAGCAGATGGTGGAATGGGGGTGGTATGCCTGTGACTTCAAAAATGACCATCTAGAGCAGTACGTTCAGTAGCCAGAATGAAAGCAGATCATCTACACAAGAATGGAAGTCAAAAAAATTAATGGAATGAGTATTATTTAGTAGGAACACTCCAGACTAGAAGATTCTCTTAGGAATTTTGTACAGGAGATACAAAGTGAGGAACATCACTTCTAATGTGGAAACTCCTCACCCGAAGTATAAAAAATATGGCCGTTAAAGGGGAATGCACTGGTAACAGTCAAGTGGGCTAAAAAGATAGTCACCTACATAAGGAATACCGGTAAAACAAATTTGTACAGGACTGCTTGTTGTGCCTTCTCCCATGACTAAAATTAAGTGAACCACTGTGCCACACCCCTCTTACCAGTCCATATCCTTGGGAGAATCCAGATGGCATCCATTATGGTTTCTGAACATTTTCAGCTGTCACCCACCTACTTTGGTTATTATGTTCAGAATACTGAGGACTAGAAATCTGCTGTGATTTTCAGTACACTGAACTTTTGGCCCAATACCCCTTTCTTAGAATCCCACCCTATGCTTGCAGGACACAAGTAACCTTCATTTTCTTGGACAGACACAAACTGGGATACTATGTTTAGATACCTTCTCACAAAGAGTGAGAGACTGGATGAAGAAAGGCAGCAGGAAGAAGAATGTCTGATGCATAAAAAAACTATGCAAGGTGTCATAATCTGTGCAGGACTGGGAGCAAGGCCTAGTGTGGCCTGGTCCCAGGAGAGACCTGCATGGCAGTGGAAAGCAGACATAGCCTACAATCCCCATAAGGCTTCGTGACAGCTGTAACCAATTAGTGTCCAGGGATTCCCTGAGGTGATTGTTACATACTTTGTGGGCTGTGGAAAACTGCGTTCTTTCACAGAGCTAAACTGAAGGAAACTGCGCTATTTTGCTCTTCTGCGGTCTAGCCTCACACAGAGCTAAACTGAGGGGACTGGTCTGAGAGAAAGATCCCTCACTTGGGACAGTGAGTACAGTCAGGAGGCCTGGCAGGCTGTGGGCCTTGAAGTAGTAACCAGTTAAGTGAACTAGGTAGTCGTGTTAGATTCGTTTATTTTGCCTTTACACACTGTTATATTTTTTAAAGCACCTTGTCTTGTGTTCCTTGCCCCAGTACTGTGTTAATAAACCATTTGTTCTCTGCCTGGTCATCACGCCTATGTTCTCGGCTTAAAAAGGGGCATTTTGGGATGGGCTTGGGAGCTTACTCTGGGCCTTCTCAAGGGACCTGAAGTCCAGAGTGGTGGCAACTGGAAGTGGCAACCCCCTGGGGTCATGACACAAGGCTAGCCAGAATTTGGAGTTGGTATTCTTTGCTTTAGTGAAACTGCAACAATAGGAATGGGGTTTTTTTCTTGTTCTCCCCATGTCCTTTAGACTGTACAGCCTTTTGGCGGAGAGATTCATTCACCTTATGTGCAGAGCTATTCTTTAACCTGAAATACTTGGACAACCCACCCACCCCTGGTGATAATAACCTGGAATGCTACTTTTATTTCTACAGCCTCTTATATGTTTATGTAATACTTGACAGTCACCCAGGTTCATATGATCTTTCCAATGCCATGGCCCTTTTATAACTTGAACCAGCCTGATCAAGGTGAACAGAGACCACTAACTTCAGAAACCCCAGGTCACTGTACATGGCTGGTATGTTCAGCTTGGTTAGTAACATGTGCATGTCCAAGAATAACTAATTTATTTGCTTTATCACATGCAGCAGGATTTAGTGCACAAAATGTGCCATAATTTGTCTATTGGTCTTTAAGGTACTAAAAGACCTTTTAGTTTTAACTTTTTAGAAATGCATTTTGGAAGCTTTGGGGACTAGTTTAATTTTTAAGTTGATTTTGTTATTTCAGTGATATTTGTATAGTTTCACCTTGATTTTTAAGCCACTTCAAGTACAGAGTTAAGCACTGAGATAAAGTACTGTATAGTGTTTGTTGCAGTGAAACCTCCAACACCAATTGATGGGAGTAGGTAGAAAGTCCACTGCTTAAGGAATCAAATAATTTGCAGTTCAGATTCCATGAGGGAAGGGAAAGTTGTCAGTTTGGCTGGGAGTAAAATTTCACACAGGGCAGGCTGAGGACTGGAAGAGAGGTCCAAAGATGTGGGGAACCTAAGGGACAGGTATTCATGGGGTAAAGTGGAAGAATGCAGAACAGGAAACTGAGAAATAAACATGAAGGAAGGGTAGGTGGGCTTGAGAAAAAGAGAAGGTGGCACATGAAACTGAGGCACAAAGGAGACTAAAAAACTTAAGGTTAGGAAGAGCTGTATGTTATGGGAAACAGGAATGCTAGGAAGTCTGTTCAACCCCAAGTTTGCTAAAGAAAGAGATTACTAGATCTAAAATCTAAATCTCCAACAGGCAACTTCTACTGCTTGTGACATCCACTGTCACTGCTGCATTGGGATCTGGCAAACCTAAGTAGTCTATGAGGGTCACAACTGTGGGGAAGGGACCAGAACTCCATGTATTGATTTTAGCTAACCAGTCAACTATTTGTCTGCAGGCTTTAAGTAAATAAAGGTTTGATAATGACCTTTGCTCTTCGAAGATCTTTCTCACCACCTAACTGAGCTTCGATAAGGTGATCACAGTGGATGGTTGAGGGCACTGCCACTTTAGGCAATCCACTGCTGATGAACTGCAGCATAGCCATCTGAGCAGTGGCATCCTGCATGGCTACACGGTCTGGTCGCAGACGTAGATATGTCTTGCCCCTCTGAATATCCTGTTTGACAGGGTCATCTAAGTGGCCATATACAATCTTCTCTGACAAAGTGAGGGGATGGTCCAGCCTGTTGGGGAGAAAACAAAGGGAATTTTACATCTTCAACTCAAGCATCTTACCCCTAAATATGTGACATGATTAAGAGAGTTGCAGGGCAACCAATCAGGACTCTACATGGAAGCCTGCTACTCTACCCAAGTACCATCCACATAATGGGTCCCAACAAGATTCTACACACAGGTTTGTAGCCACATGCATGGAAGGAGAAGACAATCCTGATGCTGCATAAGCTTTAATGTTTCTTCTCAGATTAAGTGAAAATACCCACACACAGTCATACAAGATTAAGTGACTTCAGACCATGGTTAAGTGGGAACTCCGGTTAGTTTTTAACCATGATTAACAGTGGTGCTGAGGGAAGTTAACAGAGGCTAAAGCCAGTAGGAGCAATTTGTGCTCTAAAACATGCGCAACCCTGTATTTAACTCCCAATTTTCTTGGTTAAGTAATCAGGACTGTAATGTAATCTTAACTGGACTTTTCAGCTTCTTCCTTTTAAAACAGAGGAGAACCATCTGACCATCTGTTTGTACGCAACTGCTACTTTGGGTTAAATTTCAAACAGCCCAGGACTATTTGCAAAGAAATCAATGTGCTGTAGAACTGATTGCCAGGAAAACATGGAGGCTAAAGGCTCAAGAAGAGCATAGGAGATGACCACCCACCACAAATCTTATGGCTTTAAGAGTGGAAGGAAACCTGTAAGAAATCTACATTGCAGATTACCTCAAAATTACATTTCAACTGAGGCAAGACTTGGTGATAATGCTTCTTTGGATACTAATGACTTCTCTCCACACATTAATGCAAATATTTGCATGCTCAGATTGGCTACAAATGAGAGCCAATACTGAAGAGAATGAATTTAGATGGCTGCCAAAATGTATCTGCAATAGAAGTAACTCCCATGTGAAGTGCACCAGTCAAGCATACCTGGCTCCCAATAACGCCAGACATTTTTCACTGCTCTGCTTAAAAAGTGGTATTTAGTAGTAGTAAACAACAACAACAACATTCTGAAAGAAGCACTTGTTTAGGAACTGACCATGCAGCTTGTCCAAACAGTTCTAATGAAGCCAAGCGTGAAACAAAATGGATGCTAGCCAAAATCAAAAGCTGTCTTTCACTACATTCATTCAAGTAATCAAAGACCTCAAACAATACTTGTAAACGTCGGCAATGACAAGATGCAGAATACAAATTTAATTTTATTAGCCTATTTCCTCTACATTTGGGTATGAACAGCTCCCTTGAGTTCAACTTTTACCTTTTGCGAACAATATTGATGTTTTTCTCAAGCTTTTCATACTGTACGTATTCATTTGGTTCAAACTGGCTCATGGACACCTTGGCCCGCTGGCACAGGACGGGAGCGACATGGTACCGCCGAACACCTTGACTCAATGCATGCTGGAAGGAGACAGACAAGAATGAATTAGCTACCTGCATTAGCAAAAGGTGCAGAGCTTGACATTACAACAATATAACTTTTTGTGGCTGCTTTTAGTTGCTGCAGAATGCTGAAGTTCACCCCCATACACACACCAATTATAGTGACAGCCTCCAACAGAACTTCTGGAGATTTAGGCATTCTCTGCAGTAGCCAGAAGGTTAGAAGCACCACTGTATGAATTTTCTCTTTTCCCTACTCTCAACATCAAGACCCTTCCCAAACAAATCTCCCTTGGGAATACCAAACTCCAAGTGAAGGCTATAATATTTCTTATTTTCCACATCATACTCATCAACCCTCACCAAAAATCCATTTGGTAAAGACTGCAACAAACGCGGGACCTATACACCTATAAAAATGTGGGGACTACACTGCATTCTATTAATGCACACCCTCCTTATTCAGCTACATGGAAGCCAGGTTGAAATCATAGACCTTCAGCCAGAATACATGGTTAGTCTAGGCTCACTAGATGTCCCTGAGCATGCTACTCTCTTAAACAACCTTCTCTGACAGTACTATCCTGGGGATAAATGCCACTGACGACTTGAAGGGCAGGTCAAAAGATAACATTAGGATTGAGGGAAGCTTGGAGACTATTTAAAACTACAATCCTAGAAGCTCAGAAAAAATATATACCGCAGGTTAGGAAAGGCACAAATAGGTATAGAAAAAAGCCTGCATGGTTAATAACAATGAAGTAATGGAAGCTGTAAAAGGTAAAAAGGATTCCTTTAAGCAGTGGAAAGCTAGTCTCAGGCCCCAGTCACACAACAAAGTTGCCGCGGGAGAGGCACGGATGGTGGGCGGATTATCCGGGCACGATCACACCCCAACATCTGGGAAGTGGAGTGCACCCGTGGCTTACCGCTGACAATGCACGTTAAAAAACTAGTACCTCCAAGGAACTAGTAAACATTTCCCACGGGTTGCCTCCAGACGCCCGTGGTGTGATCGCGCCGGCACGCGGCATTCCCCTCCAGTCCCTTGTTTACCCGCCAGTGCCGAGGGAAGGACCCGTGGTGTGTCGCCGGCGCGTCTGATCGCGTAATCAAGGATCAAACTGCGCCGGGGCAATTAGCCCCCCCCCCCCCCCCCCCCCGCGATATCCGGCCTGTGTGACCGGGGCCTCAGTGAGGTTGATAAAAGGGAACACAGGCTGTGGCAAATAAAATGCAAGTCTGTGATCAGGCAGGCAAAAAGGGAATAGGAGGAGCATATAGCAAAAAACATAAAGACCAACAAATAAAACTTTTTTCAAATACATTAGAAGCAGGAAACCAGCCGGGGAGGCATTGGGGCTCTTGGATGACCAATGGGTAAAAGGAGTACTGAAGGATGATAGGGATATGGCTAAGAAGTTGAATCCATGTTTTGCCTCTGTGTTCACTGTGGAAGATGAGAAGTGCTTGCCCACTCCAGAACCACTGATTTTGGGAGGGGTGTTGAAAGCCCTGAGTCAGATTGAGGTGACGAGAGAGGAGGTCCTACGACTGATAGTCAACTTACAAACTGATAAATCACCAGGCCCAGATGGCATACATCCGAGAGTTCTGAAAAAACTCAAATATGAACCTGAAAAAATATGTAATCTTTCATTAAAATCTGCCTCCATTCCATTCCTTACTCCCATCTTTAAAAAGGGTTCCAGAGGAGATCCAGGAAATTACAGGCCAGTCAGTCTGATGTCAATACCGGGTAAGTTGGTAGAAACTATTATTAATGAAAGAATTAGTAGGCACATTGCTGAACAAAAACTATTGTGGCAGACTCAGCAAGGGTTCTGTAAGGGAAGATCTTGTCTCACTAACTGTTAAGTGTTCTTTGAGGGAGTGAACAAACATGTGGACAAGGGGGGCCCAATAGATGTTTTTACCTTGACTTCCAGAAAGCTTTTGATAAAGTTCTTCATCAAAGTGTCAGGTAACCCTGTCATGGTGTTGGAATGTGAGGGGGGTTATTCTCTCCCTCCCGTTCTCAGTGCTTCTCTGTCTAGCGCTCAACTATCTGCACATTGCCTTGAAGACGTTTTTCTGTAATTCCCCAAGCCTGGGAAATGTAACTGCTTTGGGCACTAAATTGCTTGCTTGCTGGCAGGGCCCACGCCCATGAGAAAACTTTATTGGCTTTGCAGGGGGGAGCGGCTGTTTGAATATTCTATAAGTTAGTAACCATCGTATTACAGGTCATTCTTAACACAGGCTGTATACATGTACCCATAATAAACATCTATCTTCTGAAGAATCCTGGGTGTGTGGATTACCTGCCTAAAGTTCCTGACACAAAGGCTCCTAAGTAAGCTCGATGGTCACAGGATAAAAATACAAGTCCTTTTGTGGCTAATTAATAGGAAACAGAGAGTGAGTATAAATGGGAAATTTTCTCAGTGAAGGGTAGTAAGCAGTGGGGTACCACAGGGATCAGTACTTGGTCCGATGCTTTTTAACCTGTTCATTAATGATTTGGAGTGGGAAGTAAGCAGTGAAGTGGCTAAATTTGCAGATGACACAAAGTTGTTCAGGGTGATGAAAAGCAGGGAGGACTGTGAGGCACTCCAAAGGGATCTGTCAAGGATGGGCGAGTGGGAGTCAACATGACAAATGGGGTTCAATGTGGCCAAGTGCAAAGTGATGCACATTGGAGCAAAAAATCCTAACTATTAATACATGTTGATGAGGTCCAAACTGGCAGAGACTGACCAAGAGAGAGAATGTGGAGTTGTAGTACATAACTCACTGAAAATGTCGAGACAGTGTGCGACTGCACTAAAAAAGGCCAATGCTATGCTGGGGATTATTAGGAAGGGAACTGAAAACAGATGAGCCAATATCATAATGCCCCTGTATAAATCAATGGTGCGGCCTCATTTGGAGCACTGTGTACAGTTCTGGTCACCAAATCTCAAAAAGGATATTATAGCATTGGAAAAAGTGCAGAAAAGGGCAACTAGAATGATAAAAGGGTTGGAACACTTTCCCTATGAAGAAAGGTTAAAGCGGTTGAGGCTCTTTAGCGTGGAGAAATGACAGCTGTGGGGTGACATGATCAAGGTTTATAAGATTATGCATGGGATAGAGCAGGTTGAGAAAGAAGAACTTTTCTCCCTTTCTCACAATACAAGAACTCGTGGGCACTCCATGAAATTGCTGAGTGGCCGGGTTAGAACAGATAAGAGGAAATACTTCTTCACCCAAAGAGTGACTAACACATGGAATTCACTGCCACAGGAGGTGGTGGTGGCTACAAGCATGGACAGCTTCAAGAGAGAATTAGATAAACATATGGAGCAGAGATCCATCAGTGGCTATTAGGCACAAGGTACAGATAGGAACTCTGGGGCAAGTGATGCTCTGTATTCTTGGTGCTGGGGGGGGGGCAACAGTGGGAGGGCTTCTAGTGTCCTGGCCCCACTGATGGACCTCCTGATGGCACCTGGTATTTTTGGCCACTGTCTGACAGAGTGTTGGACTGGATGGGCCATTGGCCTGATCCAACATTGGCTTCTCTTATATTCTTATGTAGGGGTTCAGGGAAAGGAAAATGTAGCAGCAACTTCGTTCATGGAGGATTAACAATAGCTACTTCTGAATTTCTGCCAGACCCACATATATGAGATTACAGGACTCATACTGAGACAACCATTGCCAGTATTTAATGAATACTGTTTATATTTCAAGTAAAGATTAACACTATTGCTTATTGCTTTTCGCTATCCTAAATGACAAAAGCTTTCCATTCCCAACCATGGTTGTATTTAGTATATGGCTGGAATGTGCACAAGACAAAGTCAGATGGTTCTGAAACATCACAGTGTTTCATTCTGCTCAAGTAGTGCCAACAAGCATAAGGGAAAAATTTCACAGTGCTTTTGCTTTGACTACCACAACGGAAAAAGGGAGCAACTTAGTCTAATAAATCAGACTTTCCAAAACTGGAGACCTAGTGATCTTTGTAGCATTTAAGATATACTGGCTGTACCTTGTAAACATTCCTTTGTGCAAACCATATAAGAGGAGTATGTTTTATTTGGTGCATAAATGGACTTTCTACCTAGAGTTCTGTAGAAATGGAGTTATTATTGGACTGAAGTTTGGTTAAGTGCATGGACTCTAATCTGGGAGAACTGGGTTTGATTCCCCACTCCTCCACTTGCAGCTGCTGGATGACTTGGGCAAGCCATAGTTCTACCAGAGCTGTTCTCTCAAGGACAGTTCTGGAAAGAGCTCTCTCAGCCCCACCTACCTCACAGGGCATCTGTTGTGGGGAGGGGGAGGAAAAGGAGTTTGTAAGCCGCTCTGAGACTCCGAGTGAAGGGTGGGGTATAAATCCAATCTCCTCCTCTTCTTCTTCTATAAAGGTAAAGGTTCCCTTGCTCGAAAGCCAGTCGAATCCGACTCTAGGGTTGTGGTGCTCATCTCAGTTTCAAAGCTGAAGAGCCAGCGCTGTCCGAAGACATTTCCGTGGTCATGTGGCCTGCATGACTAAACACCAAGGTGCATGGAACGCTGTTACCTTCCCACTGAAGTGGTACTTATTTATCTACTTGCAATTTCTTGCTTTCGAACTGATAGGTTGGCAGGAGCTTGAACTAGAGACGGGAGCTCACTCCGTCATGCGGCACACTCGGGTCTCAAACTGCTGACCTACCGACCTTCCACAGCCTGCAGTTCAGCATCTTAACCACTTGAGCCACCACAGCTTCTTCTATAAAAGGTAAAGGTTCCCTTGCTCGAAAGCCAGTCAAGTCCGACTCTAGGGTTGCAGTGCTCATCTCCATTTCAAAGCCGAAGAGCCAGCGCTGTCCAAAAACGTTTCCATGGTCATGTGGCCGGCATGACTAAATACCAAGGCACACGGAACGCTGTTACCTTCCCACTGAAGTGGTACCTATTTATCTACTTGCAATTTCTTGCTTTCGAACTGCTAGGTTGGCAGGAGCTGGAACTAGAGACGAAAGCTCACTCTGTCTTCTTCTATACAACCCACATAAATTATGCAGTGTTATGTTTACAGGGATTTTTACTTCTGTGTTCCTACTGGCACTTTGGGGCAGGTCATAACATGTCATTCAGGACCACCGAAATTAGTGTTATACAAGAGGCGGAACCTGTGATACTCGCGGGGGGAGTATTCCCCTCAGCTCCCGGCCTGCAGAAGCAGCAAACACGGCAGCAGGTGAGCCCAGCCTTCTCCCTCCCCCTCTCCCTCCCCCCCATGGTGGCGGCAGCGAGGCTGGCCCGCCAAGCTTTCTCCTCCCCCCTCACCCCCCCCAGCAGCGAGGCCAGCCCGCCACGCTTTCTTCTGCCCCCGTCCCCTGTGGCGGTGGCGGCAAAGCCTTCTCAGAGCGTTCCCTGTGTATGCGTAGGGAACGTTCCTTTACTTGGGGGGGGGGATTTAAGTATCCTGCCTATAGGTTTTTTTTTACAGTTTTTAGATTTTTCTGCACATCTGGGGATTACCCCAAATGTGCAGGAAAATTTCCCTGCCCCCCAGGTGCCCCCAATGTGTGGATTTAGATATCCGCATGCAGGGGGCGCCTTGGCTATTAGATATATAGATTCAGCTTAATACAAATTACACATGGAACACAGAGTGTGTTGGACATTATTCCTAGAAAGGTGACATGTTTAAGAAGTGCCATTATTGCTGTCTACAAGATTCAGCCTCAGTGAGTCTTGACTAACAAGTGTCATTTTTGTAAGTAGTGCTTGATAGATGCACACTGAGTGCCCAAATCCAAGTATACTTATGTTTCTTCTTTAAACTTTCCCCCCAGTTACCATACAACCCCTGAAAGGTTATTCACTAAGCAACGGGCCAAATCTGCCCATGAAATGATTGATAATGCTACACATTTTACCGCTGAAAGTAGAGATTTTATAAGAACATTTTTGCAAAGTTAGATAAATATTTCTCACAAGATCTTAACTGTTATATTAAACAATTTTGTGCACTAAAGCTGCAAACTCTGCATATCTGTCTGGGGCTAACCCCACGGGACTTCCAAGTCACATTTGGGACTGAGCCACAAGTGTGATGCACAATATGATCACAAGATATATGGTTAGAAGATACACAATGCAGCAGCCTTGCTAAAACTAAGCAGGCATGAGCACAATGGATGCCTGAATGAGAGACCTCCTGGGAACCCCATATAGCCTGCCTTGGGTTCCTCCATGAGGGAGGAAGAGTTTCTAATGTACCCATTTTTAATTCATAATAAGATCAATGCAAGACAGAAAATATATAATAAGAATACTTCATACAGTGCATAATACTGCAGAGGGAATTCTGAAAAAGGTGAAGACAGCAAAGCAGCTTCTCATACATCAAAAAAGGGAGATTTTATTGCAATGGAATATACATAGGGGGCCATAAGCACTTTAATAAGAGCTAGAAAAGAAATAAGTTATTGCAGAGCCCCCTGAACTGGCCAGAAAACAGCAGCCAGATCACAAGCATGAGACAAATGAAGAAGTGATGCGCTCAGTCATATGCAAAAGGGCACAGAACAGCTGCCTGTCAATCTCTCCTCACAGCGAGCAGGTATGGCTGCGAATAACACTGCAGAGCCCCAGTCACCTTGCCCTCACCTTGAGCGTGAGGGTGGTAGCCACCAGACCACGCGTCAGCCCCAAAGGAGGCACGAATCCTCCAACGGCACATGGGCAAGGCCAGAGCTTTCTAGCCCGCTACCGGGCGAATACCACTCGCTGTTCCTAGGACCGGAGCGAGGGACAGACACGTTGACCTACAGCAAGGAACGGGAAGGCCGAGACTCAAGCACTGCCAGGCACACGCCGACCTCAAACTCCACCCCCGGTTCCGCGAGCCACGCTCGCTCCCCCAGTCCCCTCCTCTGCCAACAACCGAGGCTACAGCCGCTGCTCTCACCTGCAACCGACTGACTAGGACACAGTACGGCGCCATTTTGTTCACTGACAAAGATGAAGTCGCCCTACGATAGCGTCACGTGCCGCCTTTAAATAACGTGCCCCCTGTGGGCGGGGCCTCTGCGGAACGAATCGCGTTTCTTTTTTTGGTCTCCTGGGTGCAGGAAGAGATCAGTGAGGCCGGAAGCGGGCCTTTGCATCTAGAGAACGGCTTTCCCTAGCTTCGTGGTGTTCCATGCCGGGATAGAACGATGTGTGTCTCGGCATTGCGGCGTTTTGAAAGTCGGAAGTTCAAGCTATGCACCTTTCGAAGTCGTTTTGTAAAGACTACAGTCTTAGTGGTACCAATTCGAAATTTCCAGCTCTCGATTGAGAGTCATCCATGTTTGGGTTAAAAGTTATAGGGGTAATAAAACCAAAATAACTCACCCCGGGCTAGAGGGTCCCTTTTGTTGTATTGCCTTCAGATACTCATGGTATGTACCTGGAAAACTTCAAAAGAAGCTAAGGGACCTTTTTCTAACAAAGTTCATACAATTATTTTGCAGGGCTCTTGTCCCAGGGTATGTATTTATTTTACAAGATCCAATGAGAGCTACACAAAATCTACATACACTTCCCTGCTACTCTGTCATCATAACAACCCTGTGAGTTAAATAGTAATGCTTTCTCACAAGGAAAAAGTCAGAACAGGGTTAAGGAGAGTGAAAAATTCCAGAGGCAGTAACACATACCTGGGCTGGTCTCCTTTGGAAAAGAAATCACTGGAGAATTTTGTAATAATTTGGGTTTTGTAATGTTTCCTTTAGCTATAAATGTATAAGTAAAATACAGGTGGAAGCCAAAGCAAATTCTTATCAGGCAACAGATCCACAGCCGTACATCAGATCCTGGACTCCCCAAACTGGTGATGCAGCCTGGTGTCTGCTATCTTTTTCAGCAGCTTAACTACAACAGCCTCCTCCTCCTCAGTGGAAACCCTGATGGGTGCTTGTAGAGAAATTTCTTAACACCAGCTGGCCTAAAGGGATAGATTCAGGTGTGTAGCTGTGTTGCTCTGAAGCAACAGAACAAAGTTTGGGTCCAGTGGCACCTTTAAGACCAACAAATTTTAATTCCAGGTAAAAGCTTTTGTGCATGCACATGAAAGCTTAAACCCAGAATTAAACTTTGTTGATCTTAAAGGTGCCACTGGATTCAAACTTTGGCCTAAAGGGAGTGTTTCTTAAATAATCTTTGCCATTCAAATTTGTAAGAAAACAAACTCATAGACTGACCAATTATGATAGTGGCAGCTGTTTGCTTCTATTTATCCTTCTCACACTCCTTAAAACTGATTACTGAATCTCCTGGTGATGCTCTAGAGGTCCCTGAACCAGTGTGCCAAGTGAACAAAATGAAAATGAATCCTGACCAGAAGGAGGTTATGTTGACTGAGAAGGCTTGAAGGATTTCTCCCTTTCTCACAATACAAGAACTCGTGGGCACTCCATGAAATTGCTGAGCGGTCGGGTTAGAACGGATAAAAGGAAGTACTTCTTCACCCAAAGAGTGATTAACACTTGGAATTCACTGCCACAGGAAGTGGTGGCGGCTACAAGCATGGACAGCTTCAAAAGGGAATTAGATAAGCTTATGGAGCAGAGGTCCATCAGTGGCTATTAGCCACAAGGTATAGATAGGGACTCTGGGGCAAGTGATGCTCTGTCTTCTTGGTGCTTGGGGGGGGGGTCAACAGTGGGAGGGCTTCTAATGTCCTGGCCCCACTGGTGGACCTCCTGATGGCACCTGGTATTTCTGGTCACTGTGTGATACAGAGTGTTGGGCTGGATGGGCCTTTGGCCTGATCCAACATTGGCGTCTCTTATGTTCTTATGATTTGGGAATATCTTCAAGGACACTGTGCTTCCCACTTTTGATAGGGTCACAGAATCATAAAGCTGGAAGTGGCCATACAGGCCATTTAGTCCAACCCCTGCTCAATGCAGGAACAGCCTAAAGCATCTCTGACAAGTGTTTGTCCAGTGGCTGCTTGAAAACTGCCAGTGTGGGGGAGCTCACCACCCCCCTAGGCAGCTGATGCCATTACGCTTACTGGGGGGGGAAATTCCTGATATCCAGCTGGTATCTTTTCACATATAAGTTAAACCCATTATTGTGAGTCCTATATTCTGCTGCCAACAACTCCCTAACCTCCATTAAATGACAGCCTTTCAGATACTTAGAGAACAATCATGTACCCCCTTCAATCTCCTCTTCTCCAGACTGAACATTCCCAAGTTCCTCAGCCTTTCCTTTGCAGTGTTTGGTCTCCAGGCCCCTGATCATTAGAAGCAGGAAACTGGCCAGGGAGGCAGTGGGGCCCTTGGATGACCAACGGGTAAAAGGAGTACTGAAGGATGATAGGGAAATGGCTGAGAAGCTGAATGCATTTTTTGCCTCTGTCTTCACTGTGGAAGATGAGAAGTGCTTGCCCACTCCAGAACCGCTAACTTCGGGAGGGGTGTTGAAAGACCTGAGTCAGATTGATGTGATGAGACAGGAGGTCCTACGACTGATAGACAACTTAAAAACTGATAAATCACCAGGCCCGGACGGCATACATCCAAGAGTTCTGAAAGAACTCAGATGTGAACTTGTGGATCTCCTGACAAAAATATGTAATGTTTCATTAAAATCTGCCTCCATTCCTAAGGTCTGGAAGGTAGCTATTGTCACTCCTATCTTTAAAAAGGGTTCCAGGGGAGATCTGGGAAATTACAGGCCAGTCTGTCTGACGTCGATACCGGGTAAATTGGTGGAAACCATTATTAAGGAAAGAATTAGTAGGCACATTGCTGAACAAAAACTATTGAGGCAGACTCAGCATGGGTTCTGTAAGGGAAGATCTTGTCTCACTAACCTGTTACTGTTCTTTGAGGGGGTGAACAAACATGTGGACAAGGGGGACCCAATAGATGTCGTTTACCTTGACTTCCAGAAAGCTTTTGATGAAGTTCCTCATCAAAGGCTCCTAAGTAAGCTCAAAAATCACGGGATAAAAGGGCAAGTCCTTTTGTGGATCAAAAACTGGCTAATTAATAGAAAACAGAGAGTGAGTATAAATGGGCAATTCTCTCAGTGGAGGGTGGTAAGCAGTGGGTTACCGCAGGGATCAGTACTCGGTCCGATGCTTTTTAACTTGTTAATTAATTATTTGGAGTTGGGAGTAAGCAGTGAAGTGGCTAAAGTTGCGGATGATACGAAGTTGTTCAGGGAGGTAAAAACCAGGGAGGATTGTGAGGCACTCCAAAGGGATCTGTCAAGGATAAAGTGGGTGTCAACCTGGCAAATGGGGCTCAATGTGGCCAAGTGCAAGGTCATGCACATTGGAGCCAAAACTCTTAACTATAAATACACGTTGATGGGGTCCAAACTAGCAAAGACTGACCAAGAGAGAGAAAATGTCGAGACAGTGTGTGACTGCAATAAAAAAGGCCAATGCTATGCTGGGAATTATTAGGAAGGGAATTGAAAACAGATTAGCATTGCCCTTCTTTGGGATTGGAATGTATACTGACCTTTTCCAATCCTGTGGCCACTGTTGCGTTTTCCAAATTTGCTGGCAAATGGAGTGCAGCACTTTAACAGCATCATCTTTTAAGACTTTGAATAGCTCAGCTGGGATACCATCACCTCAACTAGCTTTGTTGTTAGTAATGCTTTCTAAGGCCCATTTAACTTCACATTCCAGGATGTCTGGCTTGAGGTCAGTGATTATACCATCTTTTCCTAATCTCTTCTGCTTCTGTTAGGTCCCTACCATTTTTATCCTTTATCATGGCCAGCTTTGCCTGGAACGATCCCTTGATTTCTCCAATTTTCCTGAAGAGATCTCTAGTCCTTCCCATTCTATTGTTTTCCTCTATTACTTTGCATTGTAATGCCTACTAAATCATCCCTCTTTCTGCATTAGAAGCTCAAGCTCTTCCTTCTTATTGCCCAAGCTTTGATCCTCTTCCTCTGATGGGAAGGACTGAGGAGAATATTACCTGTGCTCCTATTCCCTTCAGCTACCTCCCAAGAACTTCATAGTCAGCCTTAATGCGTATAATGGTGTTCATGGCTGTGTTGTTCTTTCTCACATGGACCATCACAAATGGATAATGATATGTAGGTTTGATCAGTTTTGGCATTTGGTCTGCGATAACTTTTACCTTTGCTTCTGGTGAGCAACACACCTCTTGGGCTGGGGGGGAATCACTGATTCATTTAAGAGCCTAGGGGGTTATATTGGATCCACCATTATTGCTGGAGAAGCAAGTTAATGCACCTGCAAAAATGCATTCTTCCTGCTTTATTTAGGAGAAGAGATTGGATTTATACCCCACCTTTCACTACCCGAAGGAGTCTCAGAGTAGTTTACAATCCCTTTCCATGACAGACACCCTGTGAGTTAGGTGGCCTGAGAGAGCTCTCCCAAGAACTGCCTGAGAGAACAGCTCTGAAAGAAATTATGACTGACCCAAGGTCACATCAGCAGCTGCATGTGGAGGAGTGGGGAATCAAACCTGGTTCTCCGAGATTAGAGTCCATGCTCTTAACCACTACACCAGACTGGTCCCCCACACACACACACATACCTTGACTCTGATTATTCTGTCACGTGATTTCATGCTATGGTTACATCAAAGTTTGCCTATTGTAATGCACTCTGCATGAATCTGCCCTTAAAGTCAGCTCGGAAACTCCAGTTGGTACAGAATAGGACAGCCCCCTTAGGAAGAACACACATATCTGAGGGTGGGCTCTATGACATTACATCCCTGCTGGGCTCCCTCCTCTGCCCAAACTCTGCCCTTTTCAGGTTCCATCCCCAAATCTCCAGCAGCACGAGACTGACTCATATTGAATCAGACCATTGGCTCATTAAAATCATTGTCTACTCAGACCGGCAGCAGCTTTCCAGGGTCTCAGGCAGAGGTCTTTTACATCATCAACTACCTGATCCTTTTAACTGGAGACCTTGGGGATTGAACCTGGGATCTTCTGCATACCGATTTCCCAGAGCTGGCAACCCTATCTATTATTCTAGTCCTACTGTATTTGTGCTGTTTGATCAAACTGGTTTTTCATATTTTGTAATCCCCTTTAAACCTCAAAGAGCAAGGCTGTACATGAATTAAATCCCCTCCCCAGTCCCCACCCTTTCGTCCTCGTAGCCACGTCCAAAGGCACAATAGAACACTGAAATAGAAGACACTATGATTTGAAAACACGATAGCGAAAGTTTCCAGCCCTACCTACTTTGTTTGAATTTTATATTAATTTAATTACTATGTAGCATTTCAAACATATTTGCCAGTGACACGGAGGATTCTACGCGGAACCGGAAGTGAAGACTATGTGGAACGTGTACTCTTTGGTGACTGGTCTTTTTTAGTCTCTATGGTGCCAGTGACGACAGTTGAATGGGCTGTTTGTAAGGTCCTGGAAGAAGAGTATATCGCGTAATACGAGGGCGATCTTCTTTTCTCCATCCCTTATTGCTTTTATCAGTGTTTTAAAACTTTGAATCGAGACAGAATTAAGTGGGGGGGTTTACGGGTTGTTGGGGTTTAATGTACAGCAGTAACTCACAAATCCCGGTCTATGTGGAAGACCTTCATATGTGCCAGGACCTGTAGAGTGGAAAGGTCAAAGGTGAAGGGACACTAACGGCGGCGGCGCAAAAGAAGAAGCGCGGAGGATGGCCAAGCACCATCCCGATCTCATCTTCTGCCGCAAGCAGGCGGGAGTGGGTGAGACCTCGGTTTCTTCCAGTTTCGTCAAACCGCGCTTTTCACGTTCCCGGGGTGGTTTGTCTGCGAGCTCTCACTGGCTGGCCGGAAGCGGCGTGTAAACGAGGAGGGGGGAGGCTAAAGAGTTTGGGGTGTTACTAATTTTGCGAAAAATAGCTCGGATGGGATAAAGTTCCGAGCGTGTGTGATTATTGATATATTATTTATTTATTTCATACTAGCCTGCTACCCGTGCTTCGCTACGGTATTTGTTGTAGGAACATCTGTTGTAGGAATTCTAACAGAGAAGATTGTAGTGTAAGAAATGAAGTGAGACATAAGTACTTCTTGTTTTGCTTATATGGAGATTGTGTTGTTCTGAGCACCTCAGGGTGCTCTTGGTCCTACTTGGCCTGTGCAGCTCAGTGCACTGCAGGAGTACGATGGGCAAATGTCTTTGCCACATTCCTAAATTGCCTCCTCCTTGTAACATTGGTGTATCTGGCTCCACGTTTGCCAGGAGCTTTCTTGGGGACAGTGAGAGGTGTTAGGGGGAGTTGGTGTGAGGGAGTAGTGATGTGGTGGACATTTCTTCAGGTTCATGTGGGAGGCAGGCATCGAAATGGCTCCTAGAAATGTACTTTACTATTTCCCCATAAACATTCATACCCTGGCCCTGCTCCTACACCTGACAGACACCAGCCTGTCCGGTGTTGGGGGGGATTGTATTTAAAGGCATCGGGGAGGCTGGGCCAGCAGCAGTGCTAAGGCAATCCTGCTGAGCAAACCTCCCCGGCAGCTATAAGCATCCCACCTCCTCTCCTACCTGTCCAGTGTAGGACGGGGAGGGGGGAGGAGTATTAGAAGCCATTGTGGAGGCAGGGCTGGTAGGATCACTAAGGCATTACTGCTGGGGCAGGCTTCCTCGTGGCTTTAAGCACCCTGCAACCACTGCTGCACCTGACAGACAACTGCCTGTTAGCCGTAGGAGGTGGGGGGAGTGTGTTGGAAGCCATCCCACCTACTCTCCTACACCTGACAGGCAGCTGCCTGTCCAGTGTGAGAGGGGGAAGGAGTTTAGAAGCCACTGTGGAGGTGGGGCTGCACTTGACAGACAACCACCTGTTAGGTGTAGACGGTGGGGGGAGTGTGTTGGAAGCCATCCCACCTCCTCTCCTACATCTGAGAGACAGTCAGCTGCCTGTCCGGTGGGGGGAGGGAGGGGGGAGGAGTATTAGAAGCCACTGTGGAGGTGGGGCTGCACCTGACAGACAACCGCCTGTTAGGTGTAGATGGTGGGGGGAGTGTGTTGGAAGGCATCAGAGAGGCTGGGCCAGCAGCAGCTTTGCTTCACCTCACAGGTGGTTGTTGGCCACTCCTGATTTCCTCAACTGTCATTAGCTCTCTGCAGTCCCCTGTAACTGTTGGGGTTTTTTTTTACCTCAGAACACTGAGCTCTGCAGGTGACCAATCATAGAGTTGGGGGGGTGCAGAGAGGCAGCTGCTTGGGAGCCACATAGGAATCAATGGGGGGAGCACATTTTCCCCCTTTTGACCCACTTAGGGAGTCGAATTTCTAAAAATCCCTTCTTAGCGAGCACCTACACCACTGTAGGAGCGCTCTCTCCAAATTTGGTGTCTCTAGGTCCAGTGGTTTGGCCTGGGTGTTTTTTCTGACATTAATTAATTTTACTGTGAGGGGACTTTCTTTTATATATATATAGATAGGGAAATTGAACATGGGAGATAATTTTCGTCTCTTATAACACTAGAAGCTTTCAGAGGGGGTAGCCCTATTAATCTGTTGCAGCAAAATTACAACAGCAATCTAGAGGCATAAGGATAACAGGAGTAAATTTTGATAGTCTTTAAGGTGTTCCTGGATTCCTGCTTAATTTTAACAGAAGTCTTATAACTTTGAAAGATATTGATTAGCTGTAGATATGGAGTGAGGGAATGAAGTACTTGGCCACACAACCTACAGTTAGCATGTGGGATTCACTGCCTCAGGATATGGTGATGGCCACTAGCTTGGATAGCTTTAAAAGGAAGTCTTCCATCTACTGTGGTGAACTCGAACTCACAAAAGATTAGGGTGGAGTAAAGTTTTGTTTAGAGTCAAAAGATCATGGTGTATAGCTCTTATTAATAACTATTAACCATCATAGTAGAATGAAACCTCTGTGGTCAGAGGAGCTATTAAGACTGGTTATTGGAGGCAAACAGCAGAAGACAGTGGTTGGTTTTATGCCTTTGCTTCTGACCTCACAGAAGCATCTGCTAGTCACCGTTGAAGGTGAGAGTTTGGTCATGTAGACCGCTTTCTGTGCTTTTATGAGGATTAGTCTGGGTTTGTGCTCCATATAAGCTAGTTTACAGTTAATGAGTTCACACTTCCTCAAGTTGTCAAATGCCTCTACCACACTATTGCATCATTGACACACCACTGCACTGCTCAGTCATTTTAGAGGGGAATAGTACTCTGTTTAGGATTGCACTAAGGAGAGGGTATTCATTCTTTTTATTGTCAAATACTGCAAAAAAGGTTTTGCCACCTTGCAGCTGTCATAAGCAGTGTTAAAAGGACTTGCTGCACTATCGTTTCCAGTAAATTAGAACATGCTGCTATCATCATATAATGTTAATGCATGATTTACATTTATAATATTTCAAGGCAGCCCCTCTTATTTCCACTTAAAAGGATATTGGGTAGTAGGATGGTGAAAGATCTTTGCTTTAAAAGCATAGAGAGCTTCTTGTGAACACAGTACTTGCCTGAAATTAAGTACCTGAATCAGTAGAAGGCAGTTCCATGTGTTCATACAATGTGCCAGTCAAGTGACTACAGTTAGATGTGACTTTCTGCAATGATAAATGCTTAAACCTTTCTTATCAAAATATACAAATATTATGCACAAAGTTGCAAACTTGCTGTATACCTTTCTCCCTTTATTATGTAGTCTTCCACATTGATGAGCTGGGGAGAGGTACATATTCTTGTATATAAAATGTACTGTCATATGGGGATTTTGGTAACTGCTGTAGTAGCAAGGCTAAAACAGTCCCTTTGGCCAAGCAATTTCATTCCATTTGGCTAACAGTTTTGGGCCTGCTGCCCTCTCCTATGTGGCACAATTGCTAAACATAGCTTTACGTAATTTATTGCGTGACTGTGTGTCATTGTGACATATGTGGAACAAAGGCTTTGCTATTGTATTTACATCATAATAGCACATGGCTCCTTGACTGGCATTAAGTTGTTTTTAATTAATGTCAGTTAGAATCAACAAGTGGTAATCTTGGCAAATATATACTTGGCAACAAGAGGAAAGTTAATGTTCTTCTGGCCTATGATTGTTTGCTTTGGTTTTTCTTCTAACATTTACTGTGTAGGCTGCAGTCCTGTGTACACCAGTTTGGTGTAGTGGTTAAGTGTGCGGACTCTAATCTGGGAGAACCGGGTTTGATTCCCCACTCCTCCATTTGCACCTGCTGTTGTGACCTTGGGTCAGTCGCAAGCTCTGGCACAGCTGTTCCTGAAAGAGCAGTTTGTGTCAGAGTTCTCTCAGCCCCACCCACCTCACAGGGTGTCTGTTGTGGGGAGGGGAAGGGAAAGGAGTTTGTAAGCCACTCTGAGACTCCAAGTGAAGGGCGGGGTATAAATCCAATCTCTTCTCTTCTTCTCTCTTCTACCTGGAAACAAGTCCAGCTGTTTGAAACAGAATAAATAAAACACAGTTGCTTAAAATGTACTTTGCTGTATGGTGCTATATAGCTTAGCTTCTTTATCATAAATCTCTTAAATGCCCATCTGCCTGCTCTGTGATTGAAATAAATGGGCCCCAATTCTCAGTAAATATAACCAGGAGTAGGCGGTAAGAAACTGTTAGACAGAGGCCTGTTCCTGGGATATCAACAGTTAAGCTTTATTATAAATTTATTTTAAGTTCTTTGTGTCTGGGAACACTATAGTTCTGTGAGCGTCACTGCTGTGTTGTAAGGAATATTGAAATAATGTATGTGGCATGCTTTCAGTACTTAATTTTTATATAAATACTGATATGATTTTTTTTTCTCTTTGTTTACCTGCTGTAGCTATTGGACGACTGTGTGAAAAATGTAAGTATAGCTCCCTATGTTTGGTATGCCTTTTATTATTAGTCCTCCAAAACTGAATATCAAATATCCAGGTTTTCTGCTGGTTTTCTTTTTAAAAATGGGAACTTGGCCAAATCTATTTCTTTATAAGGAAACAACAAAAACATCAGAGAAAGTATATGTATAGAGTTATAGTAAAAGAGTGTGAGTTAACTTGGAATTTTTAAAATCTGTGCCTATAAAATACATTGTCGAAGGCTTTCATGACTGGAGTTCATTAGTTGATGTTGATTTTTTGGGTTGTGTGGCCATGGCATTGGCATTGTAGAACCTGATGTTTCAGCAGTAGCTGTGACTGGCATCCTCAGAAGTATAGCACAGAAAGATGGAGTACTCTCTGTCAAGGTGAAAAGAAAAATGGTAGGCATGCAATTTATATCTACTCCAGAAGGTGGGGTAGGGCTGAGTCATTATCTTGTAGGAGTTCCCCAGGCTATGAACATGCTAATGGAGGAGCTTTCCTGAGGAGGTTCTTTTGTATGTGGATTGGCTGTTGAAATTCTAATCTTATCTGAAGTGCTATTGTTAGATGTAGAGCCTTTTGTGTTTTTCAGGACAGGAAACCATGCCCTATTTATTTATTTTTAAACTCTCTTTCCTGTTGAAATTGTGTTTATGTTTATGAATTTCAATGGCTTCCCTGTGTAATCTGACATGGTAATTGGAAGTGTTGTCCAGCCTTTCAGTGTATTGGAACAAAATACTGTGTCCTGTTTGAGTTTGGCTAAGTTCAGCCACTGATGATTTTTCAGGTTGGCCAAGTCTGCAGTGTCTTTCATGTTCTTTTATTCTTGTCTGAATGCTGTGCTGTGTGGTCCCGATGTAAACTTGTCCACAACATGAAATAAAAGAACCTCCTCAGGAAAGCTCCTCCATTAGCATCTTCATAGCCTGGGGCACTCCTACAAGGTAATGACTCAGCCCTACCCCACCTTCTGGAGTAGATATAAATTGCATGCCTACCATTTTTCTTTTCACTTTGACGCAGAGAGTGCTCCATCTTTCTGTGTTATACCTCTGAGGATGCCAGTCACAGCTACTGCCGAAACATCAGGTTCTACAATGCCAAGACCACGGCCACACAACCCGGAAAATCTACAGCAACCTATAAAATATGGTTTGTCATTAGGATTGAAGCTTGGTTATTACTTTTTAAAAGAAATAGAAGTTTTTAAACTTCTAACATAAAAAATTGGCCATCACTTTGTCTACCTCTGCCACCTTCCTTGGTGCTGTGGGATACTAGTGTGGCTTCCTCTCCTGACCTGTGTGTATTACTCTAGTAGAGCCATACCTGCCCTTCCCAGAGAGAATGAGAACCTGGGAAGCCTGTGATGTTGATGACTCCCAGCACCCCTGACATGCTCAGCTGTCTCTACTGGCCCTTAAAGCTGGAAGACATGGATACTGTATCATAGGGTTGCCAGGTCCCCCGGGGGGGCAGGGAAACCCCCGCTCAATCGGTCTGTTCCCCACTGGCCCGGAACGGGCTGCCAGGGGGAACCCCACCCCCAAAGTGCCAGGAGCACGGAGACGTGCCCGGTGTGATGACATCACCCAGAGGTGACGTCATTGTGTCGGGCACATTGCGGGGGAGCACTCTTATCATTCGAGGGAAAACTATGGTTTTCCCTCAAATGATAGTGGTCCCACCCCCAACGTTCCCAACGCGATGACGTCACTTCTGGGTGACGTCATAATGCCGGGCACGTCTCCGTGCTCCCGGCACTTTGGGGGTTGGGTTCCCCCGGCGAAGTACTCTAGAAGAGGGCCAGGACTCCCCCCACTGCAACCAAGTTAGGACTTGGCAACCCTACTGTATCACCACAATGCTGAATTCTTAAACCAGGAGAAATATGGAGGCTTCTTTGCAGCTTTTTGCCCCACTCTTGAAAGGCAGGAGAGATTATTATAGTAGTGACTTGGTGTTCCTTTTAACCCAGCAGTGCTCTTGAAGGAGCACATCAAGGCCGTAGCTAGCGTGGGAAATAGCCTCCCTCCCTCGCCAAGATGCCAGCTGCAGGTGGGTACCTCCATGATGTTTCATTAATTTAATTTTACCCCCCCCCCCCCCCCCGAAAAAAGGTCTAGCTATGGGGTTGGTGCTTTTCCTAACTTTAAATGTTCAGGAAAAGCTACAGTATTAGCGTTGCATCAGGGGTTTTCCAGCACAAGAAGAGGTAGTTAACAGTGGTTAAGAAGCAGTATTGCTGGTCACATGTTTATCCACAGCCACTTGCTTCTTACCACACAAAAAAGAGTGTTTGTTTCTGTCTTGGAAAATGGCAACCTGTGAAAAGGGAGACATGCAGCTTCTGCGCAGCTCATTGGGAATTCAGCTGCCAAAGGAAGCAGTTTAAGCCCCTTTTCACTATGCGAAAAAGCAGGTTAAACAAGTCCTTAGGAGGATGGACAATTCGATGGATTAAGGCACTGGTAATGGGATATGAACCTTTTTCATCTCTACGTTGCTGGCTTGGATATGATCCAGATTGGTAGTGCTTGTTATTACCATCTGTTGACTTTATTACCATCTGTTAACTATTAGCTTGTTTGTTGAACTTCTTTCCTTGGGAGGAATCTGTGGTGAGCATGACTTCAGTGCAGTGTGTAAACTTCTTCTCTTACCTGTTTAAATTAAAACAAAAAGATAGATACGGAACATTCCTGTGTGAGGCTGCTTTTGACAAATGGTGATGTTAATCTGTGCTACAGATAAATTTATCCTAGAAATGCTGTTTCATATGGCTGAAAAATACATGGTGGGCTTGCTTACAAAGAAATTCAACCAGTTGCCAGGAGCCTCAGGTTGTACTCCACAAATATCTTACCTTAAATATAAGCATCGTGGCTAAATTGGAAGCTCAATCCCAAATACATCTGTTTGAAAGCAAGTCTCACTGGTTTTCTTTTTTTGGTAGGTGGGATAATGCAGTGAACTGTACCTTTGCTTTGTGTATGATAGGGAAAGCATCTCAAGTTATATCTGCTGTTGTGTTTGCAGGTGATGGCAAATGTGTTATCTGTGATTCGTATGTGCGGCCCTGCACACTAGTGCGCATATGTGATGAGTGCAACTACGGCTCCTACCAAGGGCGCTGTGTGATATGTGGAGGTCCTGGAGTCTCTGATGCCTATTACTGCAAAGAATGCACCATTCAGGAAAAGGATGTAAGATTGTTATTGGCACTTATGGTCTTCTCTCCTTAAGATGTTATTATTGTTTTCCTTAAACATTACTGTTCCCTAGTGTGCTGAGTAAACATTTGAAGCATTGAAATGGCTTTGGATTCTAATGTTTCTAGGTCTGTGCTTGCCTGCTTCAACAAAGGCCTAACTGTACTAGACTGTATTTGCAAAGTAACTTGCAGTTAGCATGCTCCTATTTTCAGCTGTCTTCTGCTTGCAATCCTGTGGTTAGGACCGATTTATGCCTTAAATAAGTCCCATCTAACTTGGAAATGTGGCATACTTCCAGGTAAACGTACATGGGATTTGTGTGCATATGTGCAAATTGTTTGGTTATCTAACTGACATTTTTAACAGCTGCCTAAGGCTGGAAGTACAAGTTAGGTGCAGCATAAGGATGCTGTTGAAAAGGTATCATCATGCCATGTTCTCCACTCCAGGGTTGCCAGCTGCCTGGAGAAAAAGAAGTCCTGTGTTGAAATAGGCAGCTGAAGTTTTTTATGGTGTGGAGGTAAATAATATTATTATTATTATTTATTCAGTTTGTACCCCGCCCTCCCCGGAAACAGGCTGGGAAATAATAGCCCATTAAGCCTCTATTAAAGCAACTGGACATTTTTTTCTCCAGGCTGTTGGCAACTCTAGTTTACTACCATAGTGCATATAACACTTCATGTTGTAACGTCATCAGATCCTGTGCTTTTCTGTCCCAAACCACATCCATAGTGGGTCTGAGGAAACAGATGATGTAATTGGTAAGTTATCCTATATAATGAGAGGGACAACTCAGCAGAGGGATGCTGGTTTTGGCTTCATCCTGATGGCATAACATGATTCTGTCCTAGTAGCATGGAACATATCAGGAATAGATCAGGAATAGAATTTTTTTTAAAATCCCAGTGTTTAACAGTTGGCATAGTATAAATTGCATCAACTATTTAACCATTGTAATCCAATGATATTCTTAAAATACACTGGGCCTACAACCAGTCTTGTCCTTTCAGCAATCCTAAAGTCCCTTTCTCATCTGACTCAAAAGTGGAATACCTGTTCTCGCCTGAGGCAAAATATTATATTCAAACTTATAATGATATCTTAGCAGAGGTGCAGTTCCTTTGTACCAGGGAGGGAAGCACCACTTAGGTTTGAGATGAAGAGCAAGCAGAGGGCTTGAGAAAGAGGAAGTGAACATCTAATTGTTATCCAAAAGCATAAGAAGATGTAGTGATGAGTAAGAAGGGCTTGAGGAGGTGGTTTTTGGAAGAAAGGCCTGGTTCACTCACATTCCAGTATCTCATCATTTGGTGATCTGCAATGGAATGTGTAAATTGCCTTCACTGAAAAGTGCTGCGCTAGGGGTGGTGTGAAATTAATCCCAGTTCTGTTGTGTTAATCAGCCATGCTCAGATCAGCAGTTGATGCTGCAAGTGAGTGCATGTGTTAACTCTTCTGTGCCATAGAAGGCACAAAAGCTGCTGGGGAACATGAACAAAGTGAACCTAAGCCAGTGTGTTGGTACATCCTATCTTAGACAGGATACACTGAAGAAGATCATAAATAGGTGCTAAAACAGGAAGGCCAGGGTGGATAACTGGTGCTGAATTTAAGGCCAGCATTATAGCCATTGTCTTGTGAGACTTGATTTTTGGTAATCTCAAATCATCAAGAGTGTCCTCCAGAAAAAGAATCCAATTCTAAAAAATGGGTTGGTTTCTGACTGGGGAGCTGCATGCTGATTTATTGAAAGTAAAGAGTTAAGAGACATATTGCATCGGTTGAGGAGACAGGATTATGAAGCTGATCCAGTTGGAGAGGTGAAAACCCCTGTGTAATGATTCCTTGTTTTAAGAATGTGTGTGTTCCTTTAAATTTTTGGTTGGAGTGCAGTGATAGCAGAGTAGAATGATTGAGGGAGACAAGTGTGCTGTGATTGGTGGATGACAGAGTGTGGGAGGAGTTTTTGAAATGAATCTCTGTGTATGTCTTGAAGTCAGTTAGAGAAAGCAGTTGGAGTTTTGAGTTGGTGTCAGAGTCAGTGAGTGAGCTGGCAGTGTCTCTGTGGAAAATAAAGAATTTAGAGTGCAGTATATATGTCTTCAAAAGTGAAACTCTAAATATCTGAAAGAAAGTCAAAAATACAAAGAGCTTTGCCAGTGTGGCTGCCTATAGGAA